ACTTACATCATTAAAAAATCACACTGAAGTGGTGGCATGATTGATTTGTGATATTTGGAATGACAGAGGCAGGAAAAACACATTGAGCTTTTTCCTATTCACCAGTAAGTTAATTAGATTTTGGATTCTACATTCAGACTGGGTGAGATTAAATTTATTCATATCATGCTTCATTATGGTTTGTTTACCTGGAAAGGTAATTGTTATAGCTTCTCAGATGTTTTTGTTGCAATCACAATTAACATTCATAACAAAATTTCATTTAACATGGGATGTTTCAAGAACACTTTTCCTTTCTCCTCAATACCATTTAATATTCCTGGATCACAATTAAAGGTAGCAGGTTATTAAAAAAAAATTATAACTTTTGATTCGGGTAATTATTTGAATATGAAAATAACATATGATGATTTCACATGTAACGGGATGATTAAGCTGAAGATAGCCTAAAAAAGGATTGAACTCCACTGTAAGAATTAGGTGACTAATTTGGAAACTTGAGCACTTGGTAAATACACCATGGCTTGCAATTCTGATGATTACAGTTTGCTGAGGTAATTGAAATGTTAGTCCCCTTGCAGGAACCTTCCGCTTGACCTGTACAGTCATGTACTATGAGATAACTTTAGAAAAATGCATTTGTGTTGGCAGAACTATTGTAAATACAGTACCACCTAGAGACAAAAATAAATGATTTCCTGTAAGCATGAACATTTGGGAGAAGGTATGGTGGTAGATGACACTTCTTTTGCTAGGATGCATAGGGTCTGATGATTGTCATGTACATCTTTTAGCTTTCAAACTTTCAACTTTGTATTAATTGTAGCTGTTTACCATGTCTATTCTCAGTACCATAAGCCCTCAAAAGTTGAAGCAGGCAAGTCAATAACCTAACTTCTTTTGTTTGGAATTGTGTGATTATATAATTTTGCTGTGTAAGTTACCATACTGTAACATGTAATATTATTATTTGGATTGCATTAAATACACTAGCTCAAGCTTTCATTAATGCATGGTGTCTTACCAATGGTCCTACCCAAACTGAACATTTAAATAAGGAATTGGTCACAAGATATGTGAGTTTAAAAGGGTGGAAATCTGGAAAAACAAGGATCCTCCTTTAATTAGGACTGAAATTAATGGGGGCCCTCTTATTTTAATTCACGTTTTTAATTTAACCTGCCTGACCTCCCCTGTAATGTTCAGGGCACATAGATGAAGAGAACATTTTGTTTGTATTTTGATGCATAAAAGTTAATAATTGGCATCCACATAATAACAAAGCAAGAATGTAAAGCTTTAGCTTAATTGGTTAAAAAATTAAAGTAAGAGAGTTTTGCAGATGGTGTCTGACTTTTTATCCTGGCTCTGGATAATTATTTAAGTAACAAAGACACTATCAGTCTCATTCACTCTCACTTTCCACTGAGCTTGTGGAAAGATGATAACATCATTATTTCTTTAAATGAAGAAAGGAAAGCCTGCCAACCAATAGTTCTGTTGGGCATCATCAGTTCAAGATGATTGTTCCAGGTAGGCTAACCTTAAAAATTAGTTGTGAAAATTTCTTGAACATGTCATTGTACATCTTGAATGTTTGACTCAATTTTACCTCACTAACCTAAACTGAATAAATAGAAACTTGAAATTTATTTGTTCTCCTTTTGAGGTGTGCATCAAAATTTTGAAGTCATCACAGGCTTAAACTATAGGTTTACAGGAAATGTGCATGTGCATGTGTTTTCAACATATGAAACTGGGATTATGACCACTTCAAAAGACTTTACTACATGCCATATAGGCAGGTGTTGTAAAGAAAGTTTGCTTTGTTTTTTCATTAATACACATTTCTTTTTCTAAGAACCTTGTTTATCCAGCCTGTGCTGAATTCTAATTTTTCAACCAAATTTTATCATTTTTTTAATATTATTAGATCTCTTTGTATGAGTTAATATTCTTGTAATTAAAATAATTACATCAAATCTTGCAGATGTATGGCAGATTATTTTTCTCTGATCCTCCTAACATTTTACCATTTAAAGGGACTGGTATTGGCTATAAAAGTATAGTCAAATTAAAGGTTTTTGCACAACCCATGCATCGAGTTTTTGTTATAAAATATTGTATCCTTCTCAAAACTAGTTTATCAGAATAAGAATGAGTTACCAGGCACAAGTATGGCTTTCATGATGATAGTTTCCAGACTTGAAAAAAAGTCACTGCCTGCTAAAATCCTCAGTTCCTTTGCCTTGATAGCCCAACCTTATCAAAACATTGCCAACAGGAGTGATTAGCAAATTACTGACACAGACAAGAGGGCCTATTCCCACATACATCCTCCTCAATCCTGTTAGCTTACTATGGTCATGGCATTTCAAACATGGTGTATATGCCACAAGTTTTCCATTTCCCTGACTAATTACTTTATAATAGTGTTTATATGTTGAGGAAATGTTGAAATATAATACAAAGACTTGCCAGTAGATAGTTTTATTACAGTTTTTATTCAGTGTAACGTAGGGCTGGAAAATAAACTAATAGGAGCTCCGCTTTTAGGCTTGGCCAAAATATATATATTATGGTAATGATTAAAACATTCTTATGCTTTAACATATACTAAAAAAATGTGACGAGAATCTGATGTTATGAAACACTTATGATGGAAAAACCTGTTGCTGGTAACATATCTTTAATGCTTCAATTTTCATGGGAAATGCTTCACTTTGAAAGTGGGAATACAGAATTTTTCAAAGCTGATAGAAATAAGCTGGTTGCAAGTAATGAAAAGAAAATTGACAATCATACTTTAATGCTTGACATACTTCACTCTTACATGTCAGTCGTGTGTACCTACCATTTAAGAGGTGTCTTTAAAAAGATTTAAAAAGGCTGCTGTTCTTTGTTGATCTCTGCACCAAAAAAACTACTAAAGGCAATGAACTTCAATTTCTATGCACACAAGACACCCTCCAAGGTGGAAGAGTGGAAGACCATAGAATGATGTTTACTAGGCACTTGCACTTACCACAATCATATATTCAAGAAATACTATGCATACATAAAACTGATTACATGACGTCTTTAACCCTTTACATCTTAACTTCAGTATGCATATTCTCCATACTGTTCTCCATACATTTCCTAGTGTGCTGACAAGGAGAATTTGTATAACAATCAAGAGGTTCTTCAGTTTATGATCATTTCCTTCATTCTTATGACCTTAATGTTTGATTCAGGGGTGATATTGAAAGGAGAAATTAGATGCTAGTCACTCTCAGGGATTAAAGGGTTAATAACTGTACACATTTTATATGCTCCTTGCATTTGTTGGCAACAATTTATGGTTATGATTGTTAGGAAAGCAAACAAACGAATGAACAGAAGACAGTGAGATGAGGGAAACTGTAAATTTTGCCACATGATAGAAAAAACATCACAAAATACTTAAAAAGGGAAACTCAAATTGTGCTAGCCAATTTCCTCTACTGCCCTTCATGTTTTTGATAAAATAAAATTTAATTAGTTGTAGAGTTTGCCTGCAATGTGTCAAATTACCAGTGTAGACTTGATTCTTCTCAGATGTCAGCTGGTAAAAGATAGATACTAAAATTAGATGTCCATAAGAAAAAGTACCAGCACACATCATAAAAAAAATCACACTAAAGTGGTGGCATGATTTATTTGTGATATTTTGTTAATTAGATTTTGGATTCTACATTTAAACTGGGTGAGATTAAATTTATTCATATCATATTGCTTCAATATGGTTTGTTTTCGCGGAAAGGTAATTGTTATTATAGCTTCACAGATGTTTTCATTGCCATTGCAATTAACATTCATAACAAAATTTCATTTAACATAGAATGTTTCAAGAACTTTCTTCCTTTCTTTTCAATACCAATTATTATTTCTGGAGCACAATTAAAAGAAGCAGGTTATTAAAAGAGTGATAATTAACTCTTGTTTCAGGTAATTATTTGGATATGTTAGTAACACTTGATGTTTTCACATGTAATAGGATGATCAAGCTGAAGATAGCCTCAAAAAGGAGGGAACTCTCCTGTAACACTTAGGTGACTGATTTGGAAACTAGCTATCTTCGAAAATTTGCTCAAAACATTAGGAACAACAACGAAGCTCTTAAGCTTTTTGAAAATACCGCTGATTAGCAGGCGTCTTGATCGCTTTCCAAGTTGATTGAACATCGTCCCCAGGTTTCAGACCTCGTTAATTCTCCCCCCCCCCACCCCTGGGGACTGGTCCCTAAATCCCGGTCCCGGTATAAAGGGCTGGGAAATAAACTAACGAGAGCTCCGCTTTTAGGCTTGGCTAAATCTATATACTATATCCCAAAATGTTGTTCAATAGAGGTTTTGCCTTGCAACGCAACACATTTCAGAAGTTTCAACGCAAAGCCTCGCAATTTGCTCGTAAATTCTAGTAAACAACAATTCAAGTATGCTGAATCAACTATATGTAGGTTAAGTAAATTCCAGAAATTCGTACCTTATCCTCTTCGGTTTTTCGAAAGGTAAATGATAATGTTAAATGTTGATATGTCCTACAAGTATTGCTCAACAGAACATTTTAATTCTAAAGTGGTACAATATCAGTTAAAGGTAGTTCAAGAAAAATTTCAAGCATTTGTTTACTTGTCAGAGTCTCATCCCGTGGTAAGTTTTTGCATGAATAGGCACAGAGGATGTTAAAATTTTTATGCTATTTGGAGCAAACTTCACTTGCCAGCGTCTTGCCGTTTTTTTAAAGAACACAGGAGGCCCTCGCGCCAGCTTAGTTACTGATTTTACAGCTCTCAGCATTTTCTCAGACAATCGGTTGAACGGACCTAAACCTGAGGTCTAATAATTAACGTAACGCTCAAGAACCTAAAATTCGATCGACAGACTGTTCGATTTCAAGGACCAAAACTATTAGAAACTATTCGAAAACTATTAAAAACTATTCGAAAGTAAGCAATTCAGTTGAAAGCTGTCCCTTACCTCCTGCTCTTCGTATGTTGTCGTCCCACCTCTCGGCATCTTCTTCCTGTTTTCTCCTCTTCTCGAATTCCTCCAATAGTCTGCACAAATCTGGTTTCTCCACCTCGATTGCTATGGTTTTCAGGATAGTGAGGTCCTCTATCCCCAATTTGCATTGTTGTTCTAACGTTGTGAATAATGCATTGACATTTTTGATGTGTTCTTCGCTTTCACGAACTATCAGATTTTGTCTTCTGCAGATTGAAATGAGTCGTGGCAGTTCATTGGACTCTTCGAGTGTACGACTTATCTGCTCCAGTAACTGTCTGTAGTCCTTTCTCTTAATTTCGAATCGCTCCAATATTCGAAGGAGATTCCACTTTTTTATACCCCTTAGTAATTCTTTCAATACACCTAGACGATCAATCCCAATAAATTTCCGCTCCTCCAGCCTGTTAAGCAACGTAATAACGCTCGTGACATCGTCTGCCGAGCCATCAGGAATATACCGTTTGTAAAGAAGTTTCAACCACTCACTTTCAGTTTGCCAATTGATTTCCGTGTTACACTGATGCCATAGTCGAAGGTACTCGACAACAGACATAGCTGTTGGTTAAGGGGGAATGAAATTACTTTGGCGAAAATTAATGATCATCAAGAATCAAGACGCACCCTGCTCATCAACATAATTAAACTGAGCTTAATACGCCTAATCACAGGCGGCCCAAGCTCACGTTTCGAGAAAAATCCAAAGATTAATTAATGAAAGCGTCACGCGTTGTGTGACTCGGTGTTAAGTCGAGTAGAACCGTTGAAAATTTGAACACGCTATATGGGCGATTTACAACGATAAATATTTAGAAATATGAACATTTTACACATTAAATCGATAAAACTTACTCAAATCCTGTGTTTCCGTTGTACTTTCTGGCGATTTCTGCCGTTTTAAGCTTGCTTTACCATCACTGTTATTCCTCAGTGTCACAAGACAAAGTCAAGGCTGCACACTCCGTCAAGACTGGAATAACAGTGATGGTAAAGCAGACCTAAAACGGCAGAATTTGCTAGAAACTGACACACAGGATGTGAATAAGTTATTGATTTTACGTGTAAAATGTTCATATTTCAAATATTTACCGTTGTAAATCGATCATATTTCGTTCCCCGTACTCCGTCAAATTTTCAACGGTTCCTCTCGCAAGTTAACAGCGAGTCACACAACGCGTGACGCTTTCGTGAATTAATCGTTGGCTTTTTCTCGAGACGTAAGATTGGGTGGTCTGTGTTATAACGCGTTCAAATTTTCAACGGTTCCTCTCGCAACTGAACACTGAGTCACACAACGCGTGACGCTTTCGTGAATTAATCGTTGGATTTTTCTCGAGACGTGAGCCTGGGCCACTTGTGGTCCAACACACCTTTATCACGCGTGGCGCACCAAGTCAAGGCTGGACGGGTAGCAGAAAAAATTCCTTTTGGGATCACTTTCTGAAGGAGCTTAGACACCAGGCTCAATTAGGTAACCAAGCCTTCTGATGATTATCTACACTCACCTCCCCCGACTGGTTGAAGTGCCATTGGAGGGGAACAGGAAGAGGACATTTTTGTCACTTGCGCGAGAAAAAACAAATGGGAAGTTAACCCTATTTTTTTTTTTGTGAATTTCGCAGGAAAGAATATAACCTTATTTCGCTGCGTTCTGTTCAAATACGAATCTTATGCCTTTGGCTAAAATACGCTTTCTTCGTTAATAATATAATCTGGCTGAGTGCTGTAATATTTGCATTGTTTCGTTCTCTCGGACGTTGAAAATCGTGTCAGTGAATTTTTAGTATACCCTTTTTAGAGGCATAGAATTGTACGCCAGCGTACTTGTTCGACTCTTACTGATTTTATTTTTATGTTTTTAAAAATCTGACCACCAGTAGGCCATAGGGTAGGCCACAGGGTAGGCCACAGGTTAGGCCATGACCTACACCATGGCCTACCCCATGTTTTGTCCACACCCTGTCTGTGACAGTTTTCTTTCACACTAAATAATTCATTCTCATTTATACCAACAATTTTGAACTTCAAAGACCACTTTTGATGATTTAACAACACCGTGAGGGTTCCTTAACCCTACAACTCCTCAGAGTGTCTAAGGTCTGATTTCTCTTTGTAGCATCACTACTGCATCAATCATATGGGTCATAAAAATAAGGAAAATGATCAAAACTAAAGAAGCTCACAATTGTCACGCAAATTCTCCTTTCCAAAAAATATACAAGGAGCAGTATGGAGAAACTACATCTTGATGTGAGGGTGCAAAGAGTTAAGACATCAAAGTGTTACTAAACAAACATCTGTAAAATTTTGAGACTTTGCAGTGATACATCTTCCTCAGCTTTCAACATATCACTCTAAAAGTAGGCCCTTTGAGTATAATTTCATGGCACTAATCCCTCATGCAGTGTCATCAGAATTCTGCCAACAAGGGCAAAAGTGATAAAATTCCGTCTTCAGTCATAAAAATGAAATGAGTAAAAGATAAAGATGAATGGAAGAGTTTGTTAAGAGCTTTTTTCCAACAAGAAATATTTGTTGTTTCCCGATCTTTGTCTAGAAAAGATGTCAATAATTGACATCTTTTCTAGACAAAGACATACAAAGATTATTGTGACATACAAAGATTAATTAATAAAATTCTCAGATTATGAATTCTTGATTGATTTTTGCTCACAGGTTCCAAACCCTGATCCTATTCTATGAAGAACTGCACCCTTTACTTTAGTACCAACAACCTGCTTAACATGACTTCTACCTCTCATAGTTCTTGAGCAATTAGAATGTTTTGAAATATTTTGTGTTATTAAAAATATAGTTCTATGAAACTGATCGACATTTACTATATTCAGGACATGTTCAAACCTTCATTGGCACAAAGTTATCTTTAAGTGTTCTTCTTGTCCAAGGCAACCACATTCCAGCTGTCTGGTGGTCACAGTATCACAGAAGCATATACAGGTACAAAGCCCTTACAAAACATTCTTTACAAAACCACTGTCAAAAGTGCATACAATGCATGGTTACACTCATCATGATAGACAATGAGCAATCCCTCTTTTTAGGCAAAGTCCATTGCACCAGCCAAGAAAAATGCAGAAAAAACATGATTTAAGCATGCAGAGGGGACCTCTGGGAGTAAGGCAAACAAAGAAAAGTCCTACTTTTGTGCATGTCACTCCTAGAGCTCTTTGCCACACATCAGGAAATTTAATTTTTTAATTTCACAACTGACTTTGCTGAAAAGCAGGGACTGCCTGTAGTCTATTATCCTAAAAAATGGAAAGATGGAAAGAAACCTCTTGAAAATCAACATGAAAAGGCAGTACCATATCTTAAGAATAGACAACAACTAGTTAAGAACAAGTTGGGTACCAGTATAATTTTGTTTCTTGTAACTACAGCAAATTTAACAAGGCAAGTTCTTTCAAGGATACCAGGTCAGAAGGCAATCTTCCCTTTTGATCTTTCACTTTTACAAGACTGGAATCCAACTCAACAAACAATCTTACAACTTCTTTTTGCAACTTTTCAGCAGCCTGAAATTTAGGAAAAAGAAGAAATAGTACTGTAAGCTCATACATTAAGCATTTGATTCCCTAACCAGCTATTTTGTTTAATTGGATAGAAAGTGGAGTCCTACTTATCACAAATCTTTAAGAGACCCTGTATGAAGAGCAAGGCAAGTTTAGTTACTTTTAATTGCTATAAAGTTGACTCCAAAGTACAACCTACTCTCCCAAACGTAAGAAGTTGGGACACTTCTCCCTAAAAACGTTTAGATATTCCTTCACCCTTCTCCCCTTTTAAATGTTGTTAGTTGCCAATGACTCTATGCTATCTTGAAGACATTAAGAGGGAGTGCATGTCCCAAGGAATGCACCTGGAAGTGTGGGTCCTTTGCTGTTTGAGGAGGTAGAGTAAAGGCCTATTTACACGGCACGACTTTGTCGCATGCGACAAGCTTACGACAGGCCTACGACATGACTTAAGAGTCGTAAGCGAGTTGTAGGTTTGATTTACACGAAACAATTTGTGTCGTAAGCCTGTCGTAAGCTTGTCGCATGCGACAAAGTCGTACCCTGTAAATAGGCCCTAATAAGATGTTCATTATGCCTTTGATAATAAAGAGGCTGCATTTTGGGGTTGAGGCCTGGTAGGAATGGTACTGATGATGATGATGTATTTTTATAGTGCATTCTCCATCATAAGTGCTCAAATATGTTTTAAAACACTTTGCAGGGGGCCACAGCCAGACTGTATTGAGTAGTTTACATTGGAGGGAAATTTGTGCAGGTGCTCTCAATATAGGAATATTTGGACACAAGGTCCGACCACAACACTGGGAGATGTGTTCGCTACTCTTTGTGTGAAGTGCATGCATTCTTTTAAATCCACTGCTAACTAGGTGATAGAAGATGTACTCTACTGTCCTTATCCAAGAAGACTAGAACATCTAACCATTTGCAGTTATCAGAGCAAAGGCAGCACTTTCTCCTCAGCTGTTTTTATTAAGACCCTGAGAGTTGGTTCGGTCTGGGGTTCAAACTCTCAACCCTCTGTAGGGAAGTCCAGTGCTCTCCAACCTGAGCCAGCAGGCAACTTCCTATGGGAGTCTGAATATTCTTTGCTACGTGACAATTATTTTTCAGTTTGAGTACTCAGGAAATTTTGGAGATTGACTCACTCTCTTTAGCCAAGGATTACATCACATCCTCTTTGACTGCCCAGCACACTTGAAATCTGAGCAATTGCACCTAAATATTGAAACTCACTTTTAAATTAAATCAAACCACAACAGTTTCATTGTCACCTTGTGCAAAGGGATTTGTCCATCACTATCACAAAGTCTTAGATCAGCACCATATTTGATAAGCAGGTTCACCACTGACATGTGACCAGAGTATGCTGCTCTGTGTAGTGATGATACTTTGCCCGACTTTGTCTGGGCATTCACATCTGCTCCTTGTTCCAGGAGCAACTGACAGACCTCTTCATGGCCACTGCGGCTGGCATAATGCTGTGAAGAAGGAAAACAGACATAGGTAAATAACCCATAAATCACATGAATAATTCTTTGCCAAACTCTTATCTGTTTTCAAGGTACAATGACTTTGGTTTGAGTGAAAAAAAATGCTTTTACGATTTCCTTTACAAAAGACACCCAGAACAACCAGAAAGTTTTAAACAGTATAAGTGACCCATGTTTCTCAAACTTTCCTTCATGGAAATGAAGAACACTCCAAAATTTGCTTTTGCTTCTGACACTTATCTTCCTGGCTGAGTTGGCAGAAACAGCCAAGTAGTGCAAGGTAAGAAGGTGGCAGTTCTTCAGCCTTTTTCCTTTCTTTCATTGCAGCTCACCTGTGGGGATCATTTCTAAACTTTTATTTCACAACTAGATTAGGCAGGTGAAGTTGCAGGGGACAGGCAAATAGGAAACATTGTGAGAGCTACATTCATGAGACACCCTACATGGAGGTGGGGTTGGGATTCGTCAATAACCAACGACCGAAAATAACATCATTTTTTAATATTATTATTATGGCGTGGAATCTACCCATCTCTGCACACTGACGACAGTTGGATGCTCGTGGGTTTCCCCGAAAGGGGAGGAGGGGAGGGGAGGGACATTGAAGCTTAGAATTGATCGGCGCTTTAAGGATACGATTTACCAGAGCTGTATATCCCGAGCCATCCCTTAAATTAGGGTCTGTTCCCTTGTCCAAAAATTTCCTAACTCTTTTTACATCACCATCCAGCGCAGCTTGCCATATTCCTCTCTCAAAGTCCATTTCAGAGAGAGACTGAGCATAAGTTGATGATGTTGATGAACAACCACATTTTCCTGCGCGGTTGACATGATTACAGAGATCTTCCATGGTTAAGAGCATAAATTAAGACATATTTACGACTGAAATGTTTTGAATTAGATTTAAAAAAGACTCCGCTGCCTCAAATTAGATCGTATAAGCGATAAATCACGTTCTTCGTTCGCTTTTAGCCAATTACTTCACATGGATCGCCATGTTGTCTTGCCTCCTACTTTGTGTAAAGTAACATGGATAGTGACTCATAAGGTTGCGAAAAAGATTTGTATCACGCAACAGGACCTAGCCACATGATTTCGATAGTGATATGCTTTAAAATGTTCTCAAAAGAAGATGAACCGTCATTTCTTCAAAATGTGACTATTGTGTTGTGAAATGATAAAGATACGTTTCGAGAGAGTTATTACATGACGCCAAAACAAGGACCGCGTGGGCCCTGGACCTACAAGCTCGTTGCCATTTTCCTATCGCTATCATCGTGAATTCGTGTTCGTGTCACTACAGATTTTGCAAGTTTTCAGACAAAAATGTCAAGATATGGAGAGACTTGTGTCTTAAATCGACACCGTAGTCCATATGGCCACCAAAATAATCACTATACGCGTTCTAGATCTCGCTCAAAATCAAGAAGTCGAAGCAGAGAGAGAAGCCGAAGCAGAGAGCGCTATTATTCAAACATGTAAGTAATAACTTTACTTAAAGTGAATTGGTAAGACATAATCATTCAACTTAGGTTAAGGGCGATGTAGTTAATTGAATGCTACTCGCATTAAACTAAAGCTAATTGTGAAGTTTATATTCAACCGACTATGATACTTTTCGAATGTAATGCCCTGACTGAATAATGCTTACACATCAAAATTTCGTGTGAGGAGTTCGCCTTGAATTGATTCATATTTGCTTAAAATCTTGCAAAATCTTATCTTCTTTCATTCTATCCAACCAACATATTTAGTAAAGTTGACAATTAAATCATTTTAACGCATTTAATACTTTCAAAACACCAGTTGAAGTAAGAAGTGACATGAGGAGAAATGAATGTTAAGTCTGTCAGATCTGTTGGCTGACGCATAGGAAGATGTACCTTATTCAAATTTATTATGCTTTAACTACAGGCATCACAGGAGAAAAAGGAAACCAACACCGGAGAGCTTCATGGATAGGTGGGTTGCATATCTTGATATACTCATACAGGGAATATGTGTTCTCATTTAGTCTGAGTAAACAGTTAATAAGCAAGATGGTAAATTTTAAGCACTGTAATGAATTAAAGAAACATGATTTTTTTTCTCATGTCATAAGCATGGTACAAGTAAAGAAACCTGAGTCCCAATGTTAATGTGGAATATTATGGCAGACCTTTGGATTCCTTGCTCCTCTAAGCTTCAGAGAATCCCATACTTCTCTGTAGCTCAGTGGCAATGAACCCAGAGCTTGGGATTCATCTTATCATGAGAGTACTTATTTCACTGTTTTACTGAGTTAATGAGAACTGTAGTTTACCACAGATAGAATTTTCTGTCACTCAGTGATGGAGCATCAGAGCATAGAATTCTCTGACAGTTTTGTCCTGTGCTCATGACTAGATGAATAACATTGTTAATTAGTAAATTTCCTATATCTTACTTCATCATGTGTCACAAAAGATGCATCCTATCCTCATGCCTTACAAACACTCAGTCTATAGAGTACATTTGTACCAATTGCAAATTAACATGTTCCCTGTGGAAGTATCATTGAATCATTGTAAGATGATTCTTCAGAAAAAAAAGTTATTGAACAATTTTTTGAAGAATACAAAAAAAAGATAGGTCACCGTGCTTGTTTAGGAGATATAATGGGCCAAACTTACCCCATTTATGCCTGTACTAGCAATAATCACCAACGTCATTTCATTGGTTCGCAGTACATTTTTCTGCAGCTGGAACCAAGGGTTTTTAAAGTACCACTTGAAAAAAACTTGATAGAAAGGAAGTCTCGAGTATATGGAACAATTTTATATACATAATTTATGGAAAATTTATGCAAATGTAAACAACATTGACTCCTCAAGTCATTCCTTTCTAGGTCATAATTTGCATCCTCAAGCAATGGGCTTCATGCACACTTTTAGATTATCTTTTTTTTCCCTACAAATAATTTTCTTTTAATTTCCTCCATTTAAGGGGGATAAACTGTACACCAAAATTATGCAAAAAAAGTATAGGTCACTGTGCTCATTCAAGAGCTAAAGACCATCATACCTCTTTACTTTGCTCATGGATTGGAAAACAATGCTGTGATCTCAGAATGAGTGCACATTCATTCCCCAGATTATGTGATTTTTTTATGCCCAGTACAGGATGCGTGGTGCAAAGCTGAGGAATCACCTTAAGGCAATTAATCAATAACTGACCAAGACAGATTTTCTTCTTATGATACTGATACAATATCAGGCAGACAAGTGACAAAAGTAAAGAAAACTATCGATTGGAAGATCTTAAGTTGATCCAATACCAAATCCTTCCAACTTATGTCATAAGAGCTGTATAAAGGACAGTAATGAGAATTACTAATGAGATTGTGGGACTGAAAAGGTTAAACTGGCCAGAAAGTGATGGCCAGCAATTTACTGAACCCAAGGAGCATTACTAACAATTTGCTTGTCAACAACCAGAGAAGATATGAAATGATTGCAGCAAGAGTTGAAGGAGTTAGCTCAAAAACCATGTTTATGATGTTATTTTTGATTATTAAAAAGTTGCTTTTTGACCATTGCAGACGTCGAAAGGAACGTGAAGAGATCAGTGCTACTGGGGCCATAGAAGTTTGGGGTTTGTCCCCAAGAGAACCTCCACCAGAGTAAGTTGACTGTAACAATTAATCAATGAACAAATATTTTTGCTTGAATTATTGTACACAACACAGTTTCTGTGTGAATCATTGCTGCAATAAATAGATGAAGCTCTCTTTGTATTCTGAAACAAGAGAAAAACTTTTTTAGAGGCAGATTTATTGGAATAAGCCAATAGGATACTTGACAATTAAAAAATATATTTCAATGGAGAGTTTTAATTGAAGGAGAGCATTTAGTGTCTATCACACCATGTAAATTTTGAGGTTCTCTAATATGAAGTTTTTTTTGTATTTAATAGTTCTGATGATGAGCTTACTAAGATGGCTCTAGCTGCAGACAGGATGAAAAAGAGTAAGTAAAAAGAACCAGAGATAGTAATTTTTTTTCTCTGACTCCCTTTCACAATTAAATAACATTAACTGAATTAGATTGAAAGATTTGAAGTTAAGGGGCAACATAAACCTTCCAGTGCCGTCAGTTAGAGCTATTAGCAGATTTACCCACAACCTGGCTAGTGGAAGCCCTCAACCCTTTAAGCCCCAAGATCTGATTGATAATTCTCCCCTCTAGCTGCGATACATCTCCTCGTAAATTGGTTATGAGAATTTGGTGTAAGATCAAGATAACAACTTCCACCTGATTAGTTTGAGTGTTCTCATTACCTGTGTGCAGGTTAATGTTTAGATATTTTAGGGAGAAGTTACATGCTAATCACTTCTAGGAGTTAAAGGGTTAAGTCTACTCACTAATAAATGATCAATAAAGCCATCTTGGACCTCATCAGGAATGCTGTTTGATTGCTGGATGCTGTACATACATTAATTGCTGTAGGCTGGTGTTTATGTATATGAAGAATTGTTAACATTTTGGAAATATTTCTGTGTAGGTGAAAGTGAAAGTGAAAAGGACAGCAGTGAGGAGGAGAAAAAGAAAAAGAAACACAGGAAATCTAGTAAAAAGAAATCAAGAAAAAGTCGCCATAAAAAGAAAAGGTAAGGACCTTGAGTTCTTGTTGTGAACTCCATTTCAATAGTACTGGTGCTACCCTTAGTGGACCAATTACATGTACTAAAGTTTATTGGAATGGTAGGTGGTAGGTGCTAGGGGAAAAAGATTCACTCAATACAATACATTGTACTGGTATGCACAAGCCTTTCATCACATGCTAAGAACTGAATCAAATGGATATTAACCTCTGACTCCCAAGAGTGACTAGCATTGTAAGAATTTCTCCTACAATATCACCCTTGAATGCAACATTAAGGTCACAAGAATAAAGGAAATGATTATCAACTAAAGATTGTTGAACAAAATCTCCTTGTCAGCACCTGAGGAAACGTATAGAGAACAATATGGAAGGTATTCATACTGGGGTTAGGGTGGAGAGGGTTAAACCATTTTTTCTCACTCCATATAGTACATTCACTACTGACTGTACAGTATGAGCTACATGTATTGGTATTGCAGAACTTGACCCACAAGCTTCTTTTGTGCACATCTTTTGATTGTGTTTTGAAAAGTTGCATGTGTGTATGCACTTTTTTTAATGTGCTTTTCGCATGCATTTTGGGTCAAGTACCTCTGAGCTGTGCTGTACCAATCGTCATCTGACAAAGACCTCTGATATAGTAGTCAAGCTGTCCCAATGTGCATTTAATACCTGACTTTTAAATTATTAATGGTGCTGTTAAATAATGAGAAAAATTATTGCTTTAGTGAAGCACATGATTTTTGGCTGGAAAATTATGGCTGCAGTGAAGATTGTTACTGACTGGATCTTTCTGTTTGGGTTTTCCTTTATCCAGTGTCATGTGACCAGTTTTCCATATTTGGATTGTGCATGAGGTTGAAGTTTGCAGAATATTAAATGACTGTGTTGATCTTGTCTTCACTGTTTTCTGGACTTTGGGCTGATTCTTCACCAAGATCACCTCATTTACAAAATTTACCCATCAAATTGAGCAATTACTACTTGACTAATTTTGATTCCAACTTGTTTCACTTGTATTTTTCTATTCAGTAAAAAGCATCGCAAGAAGAAGGTTCGCCAAAAGTCAAGCTCTGAGAGTGATGATGAATCAGAAGGTAAGGTACTCCCAACTGATAAAAACAATGCACAGTTTGAATATCTAGTTTGACCAGTTTTTTTTAAATCAGGTGTTGTAATACACTGTGGGTAAAGGGGCCAGATGAGAAAGAGAAATTTTATTCAGTTTAATTTGTTTCCTTTTTCAGAAGAAGATGCTGATGTGGAATGGCAAGAGTCATGGATTGAAAAGCAAAAAGGTATTATAATTATGATTAAATGTATGAAAATGTCCAATTATGGAGTCTGTGAAGCACATGGTTATCCATTTGTTCACTTTGTTGCAACACACATTGTAGATAACAATTGCCATCTAAAGAAAATGAGTCATTTCAGTAGGAAGAAAAATTTCATCTTTTGCAGTGTTCTCGATAAAATAATTATGGTAGAAATGAATAGCTTTGAAAGCCTGGAGAGCCTCCTGTTCCTGAGGAGTTCTTGTCTTTCCTGGGAAATTTGGAAGGGTTAGACTCATGCAGTTGCATTTTTTGGCATGTAATGAGGTCTTTTCCAAATTAGGCTTCTTTGCTGTTCCTTGAAGTTAACCATAATTGAAAAATTAAGACATTTTCAGTAATGTTAGATGTAAAAAAACATTGTCAGTGGTAAAAGCTACAAGCAGGCAGTCAGTGCATTACAAATGTTTAGATCTATCCTTTACCTGCCTACTTTTGAAACCCTTGTATTAAAAGTCTCAAGAAATGGTTTCACTTGAGTGCAGTAGTTCAACACTTATCTGAATTTTCCTAATGAAAGCAAGAACTCTTCCTTTGACTCCTAAGAGTGATTAGCATCAAATTTCTCCCTACAATATCACTCCTGAATCAAACATCAAGGTCACAAGAATAAAGGAAATGATCACCAACCAAAGATTGTTAAAAGAAATTCTCCTTGTCAGCACCTTAGGAAAAGTACAAAGAACAGTATGGAGAATATACATACTGATGATAGGGTGTAAAGGGTTGAGGCACATTTGATTAATTTGCTTTTGTGCCATCATAGACAAAGATAAAGAAGGAGGCAATGGTGTCATTGGGCCTCTTCCACTTATGCAAGACGCAGGCAATCAAGACATTACTGAGTGAGTAAGACTATCAAGTGATAATAACTCTATCATCACAAGTACAGATCGTGCAACTGACATCATGAACTTGTGAATTGTGTCCAGTACAAAACAATAAAACTTTCATTTGTGGTAAATAAACTGAAGGTACTTGTAGATTATGATGTGATTTGAGATTGGACCAGTTCATTCAGTAACTAGGTATTTTAGAATTGTTATTGGTTAGCCCTTTGTCAAAAGGGCTTATGCTCAAAATGTCAGCTTTGAAACTCTTCATGGTGGTCAATTTACGTTATCAACTCAGTTGATAATACAAAATTACCTTTTTATAGTCTCCCACCCATGCAGCACCACAGTTTCTTTAGAAACTTACCCCCTTTATTAAGTAACTAATTGACTGTTCTGTAATGAATAAGAATAGTGGACCCCAGCGAGACAAATATTAAAAAGTTGTTAGAAGGAAGCCAATTTACATTTGTTTCAACTGGTAAGTACTCCTATCAAAATGGGCCAGTACTAGAGACCCCAAACACTAGAGTTTCAAATGGGACACCAGTGTTTGAAATCGGACACTATTGTCCAAAACCAGAAGCTAGTGCCCATATTCAGCCACCAGTGTCCAAAATAAGACACTGATGTCCAAAATTTAACTCTAGTATCCAAAATCAAACATTACTCTCCGAGTCTGGACATTAGACTCCCAAATCCTCCTCTAGTGACCATCTACCTATTTTTGTAGTCCTGAGAGGGTTTTCTGGCCTTTCTCACTCAGAAAGGTACACATTTATTCAGCAATTGCTCACAGACCAAAATGAATATGATGCATCTGAGTCACCATCACAAATCTTGCATTCATTTGTGTTTATTTCTTTCTGTTGTTTTTCAACAGCTTTGGAGGAGCTCTGCTACCTGGTGAGGGTGAAGCAATGGCACAGTATGTGAAGGAAGGCAAGCGAATCCCTCGCCGTGGTGAGATTGGGCTCACAAGTGATGAGATTGCTACATTTGAATCATCTGGTTATGTGATGAGTGGAAGCAGGTATGATAGTATCTTAATCAGTCAGTAAGAGTATTTTAAAGCCTTCTGTGCTAAAGTTATCTCAAAAATCTTGTTACTAAAAGAAGTGGTGCTAAAAGTAACACACTCCACTTTATCCAGAGGGACTCTGGAACAATAGCATTGTGCATGGGTTTTGCAAATCATGTCACCACTATTTGTGTTTTCTCTCTGTACATGAAAGTTTATTGTGTTCTTTACATTGCTGCTGATTTGTCTGCAATAGTTTCTTTTAAATTATCCTTTGCAGACTGGTCAATTTGCTGGTCAGCTTTTGCTTTTACTTGATAAGTTCCTTTTAGGCCACAGACTTAAATTTACTGAGAATGAATGTTGCAGTAAACAAGACTAGTTCTTGTTTATCTTGCTTGGTGGAGTACCAAAAAATGTGAAACAAGAAACAACAAAAGTTTACATAAAAAACAGCACATACAAGTTAACCATCCAACAATGGTTTTTGCAACACCTTTCCCATTTATTACCTCACACTGAATGTAGTTTCACCAACACAGTGTATAAAGAGGAAGCTTATAGGCTGGTGGAACTAAACTTTCTCTTGGGAATACCACTTAAAGTGAACAGTTCTTAATTCCATTGTGACTGTAAAAAAAAGAAAGAAAAAACATGGAAGCTTGCAACTCTTGCCCATCTGTTTGAGTTTTAGAGTTGAATGACTTTTATTGTTTGTCTCTTCCAGGCATCGTCGCATGGAAGCTGTACGTTTGAGAAAAGAGAACCAGATTTACAGTGCAGATGAAAAGTGAGTGAATGTGCCTGTAGATTGTTCTGTGTCCATAGCATCAGGTGGTATTTTTCTTGATTCCAGCCATTCACTGCCTTGTAACGTTTTTTTTACTTCTTGTTAACAGGCGAGCATTGGCTATGTTTAACTATGAAGAACGATCCAAGAGAGAAAACAAAATCTTGTCAGACTTCAGGGAGATGATTCATCAGAAAATCAACAAAAAGAAATAGTTGTTTCTCTAGCTATCTTAGCTTCCTCCGGTTCCAACTGCTCTTTCCAGTGTTGCTTGATGATGGGCAGACATACCAAATATTGGCACACAAGTAGCAGAAAAGGAAATGAGAGAAAGTCCTACCCATAGACAGCCAAAGAAATGCTTTTGCATCATTCAGAATCAATGCATTCTTCTTTTGTGGTCCTGGTTGCTCAGGCTGATAATGCTATTCACTGGATTAATCTCTTTCCAGTGGATAGCACAGAACCTTTTTGTAAACACCTACATGTATCTACTGGATAACAATTCATCTGTTGGATAGCATTATCCATCCTTTGAACAACTGGGCTATAGAGTGTGTACTATGGAGGCCTTGATGTTTATGTAAGACAATTCTGAATTACAGGTTACAAGGAATCTCTAGGTCATAATGACTAAATTTTCTTGTTGTAAAAATGTCAACCAGGCTGCAGTTTGTTTTATTGACTCAATGGAGCTATCAAAAAAATAATTCAGGTGTAACCTAAACAGTTTTTTAAAATTTTTTTGTTTTTTTCTATTTTACTAAATTATGAGATAAATTGCAAAAGCTTTATACAGACAAAGGTTTCACCATGAAAAGTTTCACTTGTAAGTTTAAGTGGAATTAAGTCAAGTGCAATTCTTATGTCATTGATAACAAGCTAACTGGCTGGATATAGCACACATACAAGCTTAGAGGATATCACCTGATATTGTACAATATATATGACTGTATAATAGTATACTTACAAATTTATGATGTGTGTTTAACTGTGAATTTGAAGTACATAATTTTTGCTAGTGTTGTATTGCCTACTTCAAAACAGTGCAACAAAAGAGTGCAATGAATAAGAACTCACACAATTTCAAAGACAACAAGAAGCTGATCTTTCATTACAAGTAGGTTACAGACAGGTCTTAAAACCTGGAATGAAGAAAAATGGTTATTATCCTATAAACTCCCAAGCTCTGATTCCTAATTCTCCCCTCTAGCTACTGGACATTTCTTTGTGAATAGGTTATGAGAATTTGGTGTTGGATCAAGATAGCAATTTCCACCTAATAAAATTGACTAGTCTCATTACCTGTTAACTGGATAATCTATGGATATTATAGGGAGAAGTTACATGTTGATTCTTTCTGGGAGTTAAAGGGTTAAATGCTCCCCTCAGTTAGACAATATACCCAAATAGAAAAATGTGCCATTTATTCACAAATTCTTAATTTAAACCATTCTTGAAGTGTACATCACAAGTCAGACAATCTACAAAGATTCTATCTCGGCAAAAAAGCAAGACTTTCAACATGTTTCTGTTGATAGTAGTTTACCCTCTTAACATTTTAAGGAGCTTCTGTTTCATATTTCCCATTAGAACTCATTTCATGGTCAAGTGATCTCTATTCACTATTCTCTTGAATATTTCTACATTTTCGCATTTGTTTTTTCATCCACTGTGAAAACTTAAATTGTGATTCTTCACTATGCAACTGTGATGTGCATGGCATCTTTCCTGCTGTGTAAATCCATTCATCCCAATTTTCATCCACCCAAGCTATTCCTCCTGTATCTCCAGTTTGTTGGAGATTTCTACATAATTTGATCTGATTCTTGGCCCACTCAGAAAAATTAAATTCAGAATAAGCCTGACTGGTCAAGTTCCTTGAACTAAATTTTAAAGAATCACTTTGTTCACTAGAATTGAATGATGTCTGAGGTGTATCCTCTGGAGAATAAGTTTCCTTTTGTATTTTGGAGCATGCATCAATCTGTTGTTTTGCCCATTGTGTAAACTCAAAGGGTGGCGTCTCAGAGGATGTTTCTCCCACATTGCAGTGGTCTACGTTGTGACAACACTCTCTTCCAGCACTGGTAATGCTGCCCGCATGGTTATAGAAACTGTATTCGGTGAAATCTCTGTCCTGAATTTCTTTGCACTTTGCCACCTGATCCTTTTTCCACTGAGAAAAATGAAATGACTGGCTTGGTTCCTGTTCAAGTGAGAGTGAGTCTGCTCTATCTTTGCTATTGCTTTCCTCAAAACTTGCATCACTATTCAAAGTTCGCTGCTTCTTGGTTGGTGGAGTTAGTGTGTGAGCTTTAAAGAAAGCTCTGTTATTGTCTGGTTCAGATCTGAGTAGAAAATCATTTTCACTGTGATCATCAAGAATGTCACTTGGATCACTCAAGTGAGAAATCCCACTGATGTTTAATTCCGTGGAATTGTGATCTTCATTTTCTTGACTGTCAATGAGCTGCTCATCTGTCATGAATATGTCTGTGCTGCATCCTGTTTTGGCAAGGGGAAAAAAATGTGGTGATGTTATCTCTGGTTACAAAATAATCAAAATTTCATGTTTTTACACAGAATCTAAGCTCAACAGCTACCTGTTAACAAGAAGTAACCAGCCATTGAAAAGGACATGAGTCTGAGCTTCTTTAAACACAGGAATAAAAAAAAAAAAAAAATCACAGATATGGAGCTTATACATTATCCCAAAAGGACGAGCATAAAATTAGCATGCTTTGCAGCCACCATTTTGGGTCATACTTGGTTATCAAGTCATTATCTTTTGCTTTCCTGAATACTCATTGCCTAAGAAAACTTTTGGAATGCTGGTTTTCTCTTATTTTGGTTACATGCATATTTCAAATAAACCATGGTTAAGGAGATATTTGTAGACTCTCTTAACCTTTGTCCAACATCTTGTTAAAGTATCACTGTTCAAAGAAAACAGTTCCCATCTCAACTTCACCGACACGGTAAGAGGACAGAATGAACATGAAGCATCTATCAATTTGAGGCTTCCATAATCCCCCCCTCCCCCTCCCCAGGCAACCCTGAGCATTTGAACTTTTGAAGATTGGTTTGTTCAAATTCCCCACCCAAGTTCCAGGTTTGATGGTCCATTTGTTGTAAAAGGCAAAATCAGCCAGGGTAACTTTTTATTTATTAACCAAGCTTCTGAGCCCCTGTATGCAAAAGAGAATACTCCACTTTTAGACACCTCCTTATTTAAAGATATGGTGCTTGTATTCAGCTAGAAAGACTTGACACTTCCAGCTCAAATTCCCCACCCCAGCAAGGCAAGGTGAAATTCCTTACATCTCTTACCCTGGGACACTAGTCAAATGCCTATGAGTTGCCTAAGTGTATAAACTGATTTATATTTTAGTAAGATAGCTGATACAAAGGTGCTTTTATATACCTGACGACGAATTATCTCGATGTCTCTTCACTGGAATCTTCACCTGTTTCTTTTCTAGATCGTCTTCTCTGTTCGAAGCAGCGCTGTTATTCTTCAGACAGCCATTCGAATTGGGTCGTCCATCTGCCTTGAAGAACCTGTTAAGCTTTGTCTGCTTCGCATTTCGCAATTTTTTCACCGTTCTCGGCGAGAGGGGTGAACTAGAGATTTGTACGATTGGTCTGGGAGCAAGATTTGAAAATTTTTTTTTCTTTTTCGTTTTCTTCGTTTTCCCACCTTGCAGGGGAGCTAATTTAGTTTCTCTCCTTTTCGTATTTGCAGAGAGCCATTGTCCACAACCTTCTGCACGGTTGGACATGATATTTCAAGCGAGAAGCTGTTGCTGTGTTGATTCAAAATGGCGCGCCAATTTAAACAGCCTCGTTTTGGTTACATATCGATATGCCACAACAATCACGGAGGGGACCCCTGAAAAGATAATCGCGCCGGAACATTTTCCTGTAGAGAAGCATATATTGTTTTCTTCGATGCATTTATCCATAAAGGTAAGAAATATTTCAATTAATGGGAAGGGAATCTGGAGATTTTACATTTAAAATTAAGCGGTAGAGATAAAAAATTGTTTGAAATCTGGAGAGACCCCTGGAGGAAGGTTATTGTTTTGGTGCCTGTGGCCAGTCATGCAAACATCATTCCCGTCAATGGAGTGCCAACGATAACACCTTATGGTCTTTCCACATTAGATCGCAGAATAATGGCAAGGGCATTTGATCGATCAAGAAGTCATTCTCCAGTGAATATCATATCAATAGATATTGGAACAACCACGATTGCTGGCCATCATTTTGACAGCTCAGGAATCTCTCTTTACCACACTTCACGAAAGGTAAGTTCCAACGATCGAAGTCCGCCAAAATCTTTTCTTGTCGAACCTATGCTGTGACACAAATATTTCTTTTAGTGAGTGCTAATAACAGTAATGGCATTAATTTACACACCATAGCTTCCGACGATTCTCTTCAAATTTAAGCTCAAGCTATGGCTTATTTTATTTAGACCTTGTTTGATTGCTTGTGGAGACAGGTTGTTTCTTTATGACACCGAACAAGGAGAGACATGATCATCAGATTCTCTGCTTCAAAATTATCCATACCTTGAGAATTGTCTCATGTCTTCGTGGGTGAATGTTACAATCTGATTTTAATCTGGATAATCAGTAACCTAGAGCCCACAACCTGTCAACTCCCCTTCTCCTCCCCCTGTTAGTGAGGTCATGTCTGTCCAATTCCAGCCTGAAATTTGAGCAACGCTGGAGAGAAAGGTCTCGACTTAGTGTGTCCTGCATGGATGCAAGAAAACAGTCCTCCTCTTCCCCTTCAGGTTCTTCAAGATCCATCGATTGGCCGAAGAGAAAATAGCCTGACGTATTCCACTGAAAAGTAGATCGGTATTTTAAGTCAAGTATAGTTTGTCTCTCCTGCAGAAGGGATACTTATGCATACAAAATTTGAAAATAGGTAGATTTATCTTTAGGTATACATGTATGTCAAATGTAAGATGATGATTAGGAAATATGAGCTGGATCACAGCTTTCAAATTAACAAAGCGATCACTTTACTACCACCAATAGTGGATATCAGTTGGTTTCCCCTGAGTAAGCTTAATTTTTTCAATTAATAGTAAACTAATGTTGACCAAGGACAAAAGCCTGTTTTACGATTTGTATGCTTAGTTCCAAATCCTTTGGGTAGGAGTCAGAGGTTTGTTTTGACACAAACCTTGCCTCTTTTTGTGTCTCATTTGCATCATGAATTGCTTGCATTTTTCTTGCTTTTATCAGGACAAGGTTTTTCTAAGCCTCACTCCTATTCAAAGGCTTGGTAACTAAGCCACAGTTCAAAGGTCAAACTTCACATGAGACCTACAAGACTGAGAGAATTCATTTCAAGTTTGACATTTGAATCATTGAATCAGTTGAGTTTGAACTGAGTGTGGATCCACCAACACATTCTGTCCTTTGAATAGAACGTTTAAAGATTGTCTGTGGGGCAGATGTCAATTTCTTTTCATGAATCAAACTTAAGGAATAAATTACAAATTACATTTTCAAAATCAGTCATTTTTGCTGCTCTGAGTGGAATACAACAAACTCTTTTTGATGTTTGACCTAGTGGTTGGAATTCACCTGTTTAGGTTGACCAAGCTTGCATTTTAGTGTGTCTCACGTGAAGTTTGATGTTTGAACTGGGTTTAAATAGGCTTTAAATGGGAACTTGGATTAGAAATAAGATCTAGGACTCAGAGGGCTAAGGAAAAGTTTCTCAATTATTCTGAAATATTAAACTTCATTCCATACTGTCAACCATACAATTCTTATGTTAGTTTAGAGAATTTAGAATTGGATCAACTAATTATCCCCAAATTGATATTTTTATTCATTCTCATCACTTATCTGGTTGCTATTGTTTTGATATTGTAAGGAGAAATTCTGTCTCCATCACTCATGGGAGTTAAAGGGTTAAAGTTAGTGCTAATTGATCCAATACCGAAATTCTCCAAACTGACACCACAAGAACTGTATGACAGACAGTAAGGAGAATTACTAATGAAATATTGGGAGTTAAAGGGTTAATGGGATGCTAGTCCATTACAGATTAACTTCCCGTTCCTTCCCCTCTCCCCTCCACCCTTGTTTCTCTGTCACATGTCATTACTACCCATCTATTCTGTGGATGGATCCACTATGAATTGTTTTTTCAGTTTCAATACCAAGAACAAGGCAAGATGACAGGGGCTAGGTTTCCAATCTGAACCTCTTTCTCGAGAGCCCAGCCTGGTAACCATCAGCTCTCACATCTTCAACAAACTTCACTCAGCAGTTTTCCTTTTTTCCCTTTAGGTTGAGCTTCTTTATCCCCAGCCAGGAGGGGTTGAGTTAGACCCAGATGTGTTATGGGAACAGTTTGTTGATGTTATTACCGAGGTTATGGAAGGTAATTTAAATATTTTTCCTCTGTGTTTGTGGTAATTATACCAGTCCTGAATATTTAATCTAGTGCATTGATTAAATCATTCTTCTTTAATTACAATTTTGAGTTCAATGTCAGTATCTGAGCAACTGCACACCTACCCCTCCCCTAACCCAACAACATTCAACTTATAACAAGTAAGGTCAGGGGAGGGGTAGGTGAGCAGTTGTTCAGATACTGACATTGAACTAAATTTGGTCCTTGCTAAAGCAGAGATGACCATGTTAGAGAGAGAAACATGAAAAGTTTGGCACTTGGATGCTGCAACCTAAGCACCAAACTTTCACCTTGACTTGAAAGGCTTCCCTTGTATAACTTACAATGAGAAAGGGAAGACAAGGGGATGTATATTTAAGCAAACTTGAACAACTGTTATAAAGGTCTGAGGTTCGATTCCTCATGGGGACTCAGAATTTTTTCTTTATCCCATGGTCATGACAAGGTGAAAAACATCCTTCTCTATTTCTTTACAGAGCTCAAAACTTACATTTATCTTATTCTATTTACAAACATGATGCTATCAACATTGCTGATCCTAACAGTATGCAGGACATGTGTCATATGAACTTTGTAATAGACCTCACTCACCAGTCTCTGTGGCTCAGTGGTAGAGCTCTGGAGCAAGGAATCCAAAGGTCTGAGGTTTGATTCCTCATGGGGAATCAGAATGTTTTCTTTGTCTCATGCTTCTGACAAGACGAAAAACATCTTTCTCTATTCTTTACTGAGCTCAAAACTTACCATCTCTCTTATTCTATTTACAAACTGTTGTTATAATTTACCTTAGTCTGATATGTATTCGAGGCCATCAGACACTTTTAAAGAGCTTTAACAACTTGCAAAGGCTCAACCTTTTTATACACCCGAAGCCTAGAGAGTGCCCTAATCGGAAAGAGAACCAGCTTTCTAGTCTATTGAACGATGTACTGAGTCATATAACAGAGCTCTCGAGTTGATCAGCTACCAAAGAGTGACACAGATTTTTAACAGTATAGCTGTCAAATGTGATGCTGCGGGCATAACTCTCCAGGAGGAGCAGGGGAATAAGGGCATACACCCCACTGGAGCACTGAAAAAAATGAAATAGCCAAGATGTGTATTCAGTGTGAAAGTGGCTCTGCACAACAATTTCCACTGTTGGAAAGAGTTAGAAGCAAGTGCAAAGGGAACAAGGAGCAAATTGTAGCTAGAAAGATAATTGATTTTACAGGTACATAACTAATGCAGCAGTTTGCTATCGCCAAATCAAAAGGTAAATCAGAAATAGTAGTTTCAGTGTGAGAGGGTAAGACTGAATTTCTTTGCATGAGTCTTAGGCTCAATGCCTGATACCTGAGAGCTCTGTTAATCTAACTTCAGGCTCCCAAATTGCACAAGTCATTTGCTCTTTAGTTTATTCACAGGTGAATCAGTTTCAGTTAGATTGCAAAACAATACTTATCTATTTTCCTTTCCTTTTGAAGCATCAAATCTTCAAGCAGAAGATGTGACAGCCTTAGGAATCTCCACCATGAGAGGAACATTTATAACTTGGGACAGGTAATCACATCTTATGATCTATGATTATGGATAATAATGTTAATATTTCTTGATTAAAACAATAATACTTTTTAATTATCATAAGAAATATTATGTGCTGACTTGAACCAGGTTAACATGAATCCCCACTAACTCAAACAAGATCCAAATTTTCACTTGGGAGGAATGTAGGCCCCCCTGCACCCCCTCCCTTCAAAACATTAAAGTGAATGTCTCATTTGCCTTGTTCATAGAAAGACTGGTAAACCATACCACAACTTTATCAGCTGGCAGGATATGAGGGCTGGACATTGTGTTGAGAGTTGGAATAAATCTCTTACCCTTAAGGTCTGTAATGTGAGCTTGCAATTTTTTGTTAAAAGCAGTTAAATTTAGGTTTAGAATCTCTCTTCAGTGATCAATTCACATTATCAACTCAGTAGATAAAAGCAAAATATCTTGTGATACCCTCCACCAATGCAGCACCACAGTTTCTTTAAAAACTTGCTCCCTATATTAGCTAAACACCTTTTGCTTCTTTTTGACTTTTGAATTTTAACCTCTGGTAAGTAATAGTACCAAAATATCCTGATAAAGTGCATTTCAATTGAGTTTCTTATAACAAAAACCAAAGTAATCACAACAGCCAATCAGACCAACAGAAAATTTCTGAAAGAGCCAATGGCAACCCAAACAAGGAAACTGTCTGAAGTGCAGGAAGACACGGATGACCAATTCGTGAGCAATATAGTTCTGCATCTGATTGGTTGAGAATATAGCAAGTTTACTTTGGACCAATCACAGAGCAATTGCAAAATTCTCTATTGCCAAGTACATCAGTTCCCTCGACACAATCAAAGTCAGTCAATTTCAACTTGCTGAAGAACCAATAACAAAAATATCAAAGGCTTATATGCCATGTACACCAAAGCTTAAACACGTTTTAAAGCTGTTGTATCAAACATGGTTTGAAATTGTTTTCTTCGGCGTACAAGCTGCCTAAGCAGATATTTGTCGACTTCGAATTCAGCGAATTGAAGTACAAGTTCTTTGTTTGTGATTTCCAGTCAGTCAAACTCGGTTTAAGTAAACATGTTTTGTTTGTGTGAATGGGACATTAGACTAACCTACGCCGAAACTGCACTGCTTTGATGACGAGGACAAAATGCATATGGAACGAGTAGTTTAACAAACAAGCCCTCCTTTGGTTATATTGTCTCTGTTTAACACTAATATTTTAAAACTTCTCTTTAAAGAGTTTGAATGTAGGGTCTAAATTTCTTCACATGATCTCAAGACAAAAGAAATACTTGGCTGGAAGCGTCATCAGCTTTTCAACTCAACATGTAAGTGAAATCAATTTGTGCGTTTAATGTTACAGTCAGTGAGGCAACAGAACAACCTGTGTTGGAGTAAACTGTTTTGTGTTTCACGTATATTATTTGTCAACTCGTAAACAGCTCTATGAAAAGTAAAATTACACACTTGAAACCAACCTTCTTTGGTCAAGACTTTCTCATTGTTCCACGAGTGATATGTTCAGGATTGGAAAATATTTTGTAATGTTTAGAGCTCAACCAAATCGCATCACGAAGCACGTGCTGTCAACTACGCATGTACTTCCAGTCCCAAAATACAACCACATAGAAGGAGTTTGGATCCTAATTAATACATTACATATTTGACGACAGCAGGGATGGAAAAGCAGACATGTCAAATGATCCTTCACTCATATTTTCTTCTCATTTTCAACATATAACCTAATGCTTTAAAAGTTCTACACTGGTGAATTATGTTGCAATTGGTTCCCCACTAAGTCGTTTTTGTTTTGTTTCCAGACATCAATTAGGCTTCACTGGTTGTTCAAGACCCATCCAGATGTAAGTGCCTTTATAGGATGCAGCTGCCTTGCACAATCAGCTAATCAGACTCTGCATCGAATTCTCGGAAATGTGTGCTAGGTCGACGCAAATGAGATTGCACTTCATTATAAGAATACTTAATCAGAGTACACGGAGTACAGTATTTACCACCTGTATGCTTTATTAGATACATTTTGTGCTGACATAAAACTTTTAAGGAAAAAACCTAATGCGAATTAGAAGAATGTATTGTAACAGCTAGTGGTTTTTCAAATCATGACATCTAATTTATTTTTTCGCATGCAAATCACTGTAGCTTGCTAAAAAGGCAGATCTTGGTAACTTAGCATTTGGAACAATTGACTCCTGGCTTATCTGGAAACTAACAAAAGGTATTACGTACATTATGATATATACCTCTTACTAACCGAGTTTTGAGATCCGTACTGTAAGTTACGGACCTCGTTTTTCCGCTTAGATTTATGACCAAAGCGCTTCGCACATGGACCAAAAATCCGAGCGGAAAAATCGAGGTTCCGTAACTTACTCTACAGACTGAGAAAACGGGGTTGGTGAGATAATTATTAGATCTCTGGGTTCAAATAAAGGAAGAAGATTTCAATGCTATTGAACTTTTGAAGTTAGCGGGCTGCACACCGAAATATGGCCCATTAAATTGATGAATCTTGGCGCACGCACTGACTGAGAGAAATGATGAATTCAACTATGTACTTTTGGTCCATACGCAATCCAGCATTAGAAAGGGCTTAAATACAAACTGATTTGCAGTTCAGCACCCTGGAATCTAATTTTTATATAGAGACTTAAGTATGCCATGGCACTGGTTTAAAAAGTAACTTGTTTTTATAAAAGATTGTATTTTACCATAAGAATTTACCAAGGTGAAGAAAACTGTTTCTTTTATCATCAGGTCAGCTTCATGTGACAGATTACTCCAATGCAAGCGGTACAGGGATGTTTGATCCTTTTATTGTAAGTAAACTTGAGGGATTTTGAATGAAATCATTAACGCTTGAAAATTTCGAATCAATGTCAGTGTATGAACAACTATACGCACCTACCCCTCCCCTAACCCAACGTTAACCCGAACTGTCGCTGAGTTAAGGGTGGGGTTCCTACGCAATTGCTTAGATACTCATACTGATACAAAATTTCCATGTAAATAGCTTTTTTTGACTGATCGCGATAACTTTAGTTTTAGTTTCACTACACTAAATTGAAAAGTAGTCAATTTTTTTTGTCACCAACATTCATTGCCTCTTTAAATGTTTTCAATGCAGATGGAATGGAGCTCAATAATGACAAGTCTTTTGAGTGTACCACTATCAATCTTTCCAAAAGTAGTTGATACCAGGTAAGTTCAACTTCAAAGTTAAATTTCTCAAATATGCTGTTTAGGTTCATTGTAAAGTTAATCCTGTTACTCGGAAGTGTAAAATGGTTGGAGAAAAGTCTTAACAATTATCATAATTTTGGTTATTGACGTGAAACTGATCGTCTTCCGCTGGTTCATACCTTCGAGGGTTGGTGTTAGTTTAATGAATGTAGTATAGGCGATGAGTGCTAAACCTCTAAAAATCAGAGACAGCACTAAGCCAAGATGTGATCTGCAGTGGAAAGTGAACTGCTCATCTCAGGCACGAAACTGCTAGGCTAAAATAACGCAAAGATGTTTTGGAGTTCCTCGATCCAGAACGAGAAACGTTGCAATTCAAGCCCCAAAAGACGAACCTGATATTGTATGAACATGAGGGGCGAACCAATCAAGCTACGACATACAAAAAGAAAATGTACTTTATTTATAGTTATAAGACCACGGTATTACGTACAGAGGAAAAACGATAACGTATTTTACTACTCTGGTCATACCTTGCCAGGTTACATTTAGGAACAAAAACAACAACAACAACAAAAACAACTGGAAATGTCGTAATGATAATCTAGAAAAAAACTTTTTTAAAAATTAAAAAATAGTATCTTATTGTCGTTCCTCAGCAAAAATCTTAAATGTCTATCTTCTCTGAAATCCTTTCAGACAACAATATTCAGCAGTTTCTGCTAATTTCGAAGAAAAGCTGGCGCCATAAAAACGTTGCAAGAAAAATGCAGAATAAGATAATTTGGTTTTCTGACTTCATAATGTAAATTGGCCACTGAAGAGATTTTCTAAGGCGTTAGGGCTGACGAAGGGTTAACACTCGAAACGTTAGCTGTAGAGACTCTTTACGGAGGCCAAGTTACTTGATCAACTCAGTTGATAAAACTTAATTATCTTGTTATACTCCCTCACCGATGCAGCACCACAGTTTCTCTAGAAACTTACCCCCTTTTCGTGAATACAGAACAGTTTTGCCCCTGACTAGAACTAAAGACCTCGAGTGGTTGCTTAAATAACCATCCAAAACTTGCTAACGTCACACCTCACATCATTTTGGCAACTTCTCTATTGCGTTCTTGACCGGCCTTTGAATCTCTGATTTGATTCTTTTACCTACATTTTTTGACTACTTTTTTCCACTGTAGCGGTCTCATTTGTGAGAGTCATAAAGCTATCTTTGGTGCTCCAATACCTGTACGGGCCTTGGTAGGTAACTTTTGTGTTTTGAGAAACTGTTTCTGACAATAGAAACTATATGTAGGTAAATACTACTAGCAATGAGAATACTCTAACGAAAACAACGATTATACTGGCGAGAAATAGATCGCTACCGGCTTCACGTAATTTTTATACAACCTCACGCGAAAATGCGAATTTAATTGAAAAGAAAAAGGACATCACAGCAGTAGTTCAATTGAAAGAAAACAATATAAAATCATTTCGCAGTTACTTAACAATAAATAGACATACAAGATCTTAAGTCGACCTTACAATGAGGGCATTTTTCTCCCTTTTTCTGGCTGTTGATATGTGAAAGTATACATTGTTACAAAATGTGGTGCACCAGGTTACAACTGAGCGGATTGGACCGAGTGAATCGGAGCCAGATAGCTCAGAAGTATTTTGTTTTTTTATGGTCAAAATGGAATACAGTAAGCTGAATTGACGGTCAATACCGCGAAGTATTACTGATTTCAGACATCCTCGCTAAGCAAGCTTACTATTGTATAGAATGGTTTCTCTGGTAGAAGCGCTGGACAGAAAAATTCTAAACACCTCTTGAAACGTCATGTTAAACGAAATATTGACCAACCAAGGCTGAACCCATCTTTAGGCGCGTCACTAAAAGAGCTATGTGAGAAAGTAAATCTCGCTGAAAGATAAGGTTAAGCGTTTTTAGACTGACTTCCCCTAACATTGCTATTGTTCACAGGGTATATCGTGTGTTTTGTTATTGTTTTTGATTCTTCTGTTCAAACTTTCATTTGGTTGTACCTTTTGCTTGTGTTCACCCTTCAAGGTTGCAGACCAACAGGCCGCGGTGTTTGGACAGTGTTGTTTTGACGCAGGGGATGTAAATTGTACAATGGGAACGGGATCGTTTATAGATATAAATACAGGCCCGTATCCGCATGCGTCTGTGGCAGGTAAAATAGATCTGTAATAGATCTATTTGAGAAAGAAAGACTGATGAAGCGAATATCGATTATTAAAAACCCCTGAGAGTGACTAGCATCTAATTTCTCCTTACAATATCACCCCCAAAATCACACATAAAGGTCACGTAAAAAAGGAAATGATAACCAACTATAGAAGCTCTAAATTGTTAATCAAATTCTCCTCGTCAGCACCTTAGGAAATGTATTGAGAACAGTATGGAGAATTTGTTTATTGATGTTAGGGTGTAAAGGGTTAAAGGGTGTGAAAACCATACCTTCGACCATCGTGTTAGTTAGAACGACGGTTAACATCACGAATAACCAGTTAGAACTCAAAGCAAATACCTAAGATGAAAAAAAGGGGACAACCGATTGTCTTTTGGACTTGGTTTTGTACATGACAAGTTGAAGTGGCAAGTTTTCTAGACAAATCGCACACCCATACGGTTTCAGAGCACTAACCAAGGAACCTAGTCTTGCGAGAAAACTGTAAATACTGTAATGTGATGGTATAGTCAAGATTTTTATAGGGTTCTAAGAATTGGTTCAACAGGAATGAAATGGAAAGGAACAGCTTTTAGATGGAACTAGTGGAAAAGGGCGGCAAAGTCGTACCGAATGCTTTTCAGGGCTCAGTTTTCAGAGTCCATGTCACATTATATCTCACCAAACTTTGGCAATTTCGTGGCTTAAAAGTGAGATGCATCTTTTTGTACTTGTGATGATTTTATAATTTACCCTCAATAGGACTTTATCCAATTGTCGGATGGAAGATAGGAGGGGAGACTGTTTATTTAGCAGAGGGCAATGCTGCAGGCTGTGGAACAGCCATGGAATGGGCCCACAGCATGGGTGGGTATTTTTTTGCGATTTTTGTAAAGCAAATTAGCGTAGTTTATCAGTATTCGGGTGATCCTTTGGTTTGTTAGTTGGTTCGTTGGATTGACCCTTTGTGTTTGACAGTCAGGCAATAAGTCAGTCATTTAGTCAGTCAGTGAGCCAGGTAGTCAACCAGTGCGTCAATAAACCAGTTATCAGTGGGTCTGTCAGTCAGACAGGCAGTCAAACAGTCAGCCAGTTAGTCAGTCTGTCTGTCAGTCAGACAGTCTGTCAGAATGTCAACCAGTTATCAGTCAGTCTGTCAGACAGACAGGCAGTCAAACAGTCAGCCAGTTAGTCAGTCAGTCAGACGGACAATCAGACGGACAGTCAGTCAGTCAGTCAGTCAGTCAGAGGACCGGTCAGACAGTCCATCAGTCAGCCAGTTAGTTAGTCAGTCCGTCCGTCTTTCAGAGTGTCAGTTAGTTTATCAGTCAGCCAAGTAGTCAGTCATTCGTAAGTCAGACAGTTAGTTAGTCAGCCGGTCAGACTTGTTCATCAATATTTCTGCTCGCACGTCCGTCCATACGTTCCTACGACATCAGTAGGGTAGCCAATCAGTCAGTAAGTCAGCAGTCACCTGGTTAATAGGCCATTTATCGACAATCAGTCAGTTAATAAGATCTTTTTTCAGTGGACCATCCAGTCCGTCACGGGACCGAAAGCTCAGTAGCGAGCCAAGTGCCCAGTCTTATTCATATCCGAATTCCAGATTATTTTCGTTTCCATCTCGCCTCGGTTCGCTCCGCTTTCATCACGAATCACATTCAAGGTACTTTCTCATCAGCTCAGTATCATTTCTTGAAGTAAATATTTTCTTTCTCTGCAGGCTTTTACGACGATGTCTCGCAGACGAGCGACATGGCTTTTTCTGTGGAAAGTAAGCTCAATAATAAAGACTTAACCTTTATGGTTCGTTTGTTTCTTTCTGCTTAGAGTTCTTCATAAACTTAAGGAAATAACGAATGAAAATCTGTGGTTGCTGCATTCAGCGTCTCTGTGATGAATCGGTACAATGTACATTTTTAACCGTAATATTAAAGTGAACGTAGATTGTTAAAACAAGATTTATTTAAGACGAACCAGGTGTTTATTTACAAAGCACACGAAGTTACGACGTTTTGAAACCTTTCTCTGTCAATCTCTGCCAAGCACATTTCCATGGAATGTGATACCAGATCCTACCGCTTTTCACGCAGTGATCGTTTATCTATAATTTCTCGTTACGATCCTGTTCAAAGCGCTGCGGAGGAGTATAACTTGGGACGGCCAAGAAACAAATTCAGTTCAGAGGCAGAGTGGACTGGCTTTCACTTCACTTGGGACCTTCAGATTTTAAACCTTCTTTCCATAACTATTCGACTACCTCGCCTGCATAAAATGTCCCACATCGCCGCGAACCATCCCAAATAATTCAATTTTGCTCTGTTTTTCTCTTATAGCTTCAGGTGGAGTTTACTTTGTTCCCGCTTTCAATGGATTACAAGTAAGTAGTTATGTACTGTTCGCTTTTTAGGTTGTGTGGGCTGCGTGGGTGATTGACAAGGTTGTGTGTGCGCTGTATGTTGCCTGCCAAATGAAATGTGTATACTTTTTGTGTTTACTCTTTGTAGGAACTTGTAACATCGACCTTTACATCATAGTTTTCTCTTGTTGGGACATAGGTTGTGTTCTGCCACAAAAAAAAAATTGGATGCCGATCTTAATTCGTCACAATATCCCGCTGTTCTGTAAGATATATGCATATATATGTAGTCACTTGACCTTCCCTTTTGACCTCTCGCTCGAGAAACATTTCGTCTTTACCTTTTTTTTTTATTTTTACTTCATTTTTATTTTTTTCATTGTGTTTCCTTAACTTATCTTTTTCTTTTTGCTTTCCACTGAGTTATTCCTTTTGTCTCTGTAGGCTCCAATTAATGACAACAAAGCTTGTGTTTCACTGATGGGAATAAAATCCACCACCAACAAAGCTCACATCATGAGAGCTATTTTGGAATCTATAGCATTCAGGTAAAAGTTAGTTTGCAAAGCTGTTTGTTATGTACGTTCAATAAGTATGGAGGCGACGAGGATTCTTGATTTTCTTCTTCCACATTTGCACAATCTGCTGGCTACGCTGTTTGGGTGAATTAAGGCGTTGAATAAATCGAGTTGTCAGCCAACTTTACTCGATTTAACGAGGCACGGAAGTATTGAAACACTAGGACAGGAACTTCAGCGTGTTACCTGTGCCCGGTCATCACAACTCAGCGGAAGGATTTTAGGCAACCAATCTCCTATTTCTGTTTACATATGGTGAACGGTGAAAATGTTGTTGCGACGATCCACAAAAACTAACAAGATAGTTAATAAAAAACATCGCACTGGTAGCGAAAAGGAAAGGAAGATAAGTTGGTTCAAAGCTGATACATAGGCCCACAGTTCTTTATGGTTGACTAAGATTCCTAGGTGTCTTCGATGGACAGCCCTGAGAAGCAAGGGAAAGCGTCCATAGTTTGCAAGGGTACTCCCTGAAGTTGAACAGTATCAAATTGACGGATATGTGCAGGCTACTGAAATTTGGCAATTCTCAAAAAAAATCTATCAAACCCCCAGGTAGAGCTTGTGATAAGGATGAACAACTATCAATATTGGGTATCGAGTTAAAGGGTTGGAATTATAAGATTCCAATTTAGAAGCTCCTCCATATAGGAAAATTTAATAATTCAAGTTGATTCACTCAGGTTTACTCAGCTGTATGAAACTGTGGTGGAAGAGACGCACATTCCACTAATGTCTTCAGTCAAGTAAGTTGTAAATTTATTTTAATTTTTTATTTAAATCTAAAGTCGCCAAAAATCTTAACAACCTTTTGCAATGCACTGAGAGCAATTGATATATAATGGTAATTGAACTGAGTGGAGTGCTATTTGGGCTGAAATCATACGCGTGATTTGAAATCACAAGTATGATTTCAGACCAAACTTGCACGACACGAGGTTCAATTACCAATTTATTACATCCATTTTGAAATTGCCTAAATGCAGGACTCTTTTGGTTCAAATATTTTCTTGATGCAGTACTGAGCCGGGTTGAAATTAACTTCATCCATTTTTTGGGGGGAAACAAAAGTTGCAAAATTTTCCACATGATACTCTTTGTCTTTTATTTTCCTGCAATTGATTGGTTAATTTAAAAAAGCCTTGAAATCAGATTGGTTGTTTTGTTTTTAGTGTAGCCTCCTCGTTGGCTGGGAAAAAGATGCGATTCAAAGCAAAAAATGGTGCGATTCGGGAATAAATCGCACCAATTACAGCCAATCAGATTACAAGGACCACCAGTGATTTCAAAATGGGTGTAATAAATCTGAGAATCGTTATTCATTACCATAAAGTTGAATGGTCACAAATACGTTTTTCATTATGAGTCGTGAGAAGTTATTTTTTTTTAACTGTTATAGTAATGCGTTTTCAGGTCTTTTGAATGAGATTTTTGTTTGGGCGCGCGAAAGCGACCTTTTAAGTCATACGCCAAATGTAGGTTTAGTAGAAACTGAAAGATATCCGGAAGATTATCAAGGTCTAATAAGAGCGCGGAAAACTTGAAAAAGTTGCTAGGGTTGATACCCATCGCAATAAGTAATATCAGAAACGCGATTTCCGGCAGTTTGAGAATCACACACCTTAGTTACAGCCTTGTAATTGTCCCTTAAAGTTGAGAAATGGCCATTTAAGAGTGAGCTTTTTGTAAAACGTAGGATGGAGCTCTTTTCGACTGAGTCTCGCAAAGGAAAAACTAAATGAGCTGAAGCGTACAATAGGAAAAAGATGAACATAATAATGAAATCCATCGGAACTCACTGCAAGCACATAAAACTGGCTTCAGGCGCGGGAAAACGAGTGACCAAGTAACATCTGATTGGTCGAGGTTGTTTCGAGTTTTCTAGACCAATCACAGAGCACGTTTATGTGGCTGGGACCATTACTTCGAGGCTGCACAAGGAATGCGTCTGTTAGTGGAGGTTCCACCTCTGAACAGAAACACCTGGAAATTGCATTAACATGACACAGCTTTAAGATAAAAAAAAAGGGAAAAAGGAATTCGTGATGTAGACAAAGTTTGCAGCTTTTTGAGTTCTATGGGTAATGCGTTTTTTTCTCTTTCTTTTTTTCATCTTTACAGAGTTGACGGCGGAATTTCTAACAACGACTTTGTACTGGAATTAATGAGCAGTTTAACGTGCCAGACGATAGACCGACCCTCTCAGACTGACATGTCCACATTAGGTGCAGCCTTCTTGGCTGGTCTCTCAGCTGGTAAGTTTTGTTATGTGAAGAGTCTTCAGCTATGTTGTCACCTACATTGCTGGTTCAATTAAAATTTTTGTGCGAGGCTCGCTTACTGATGATTGATTTATTGAGCCATAAATTTGTTTATTTGTATCTTCAGAGTTTCTTCACTTTTCACCAGAAATTCTTGTGTGTAGAAATCGCGAATCTATACAGTAGCAAGTTTCCCAATTTAGCTCAATCAAAAAAAACTACCTTAATTTGAGGTTAAGGCAATTTTCTGTTATTACCGTAAGTAGTCAAGGATTTCGTCACATTTACTTTTCTGTGATTGGCCCAGAAAAGCCGTGCAATTTTCTCAACAGTCAGAAACAAACCGCAACCAATCGCGACTTGTTCACGAGCTTTTCCCGCGCTCCAATCAGTTCCCATGTTTTTCTTCTAAATTTTCATTGGCTCGTTCGGTGTCGCACTTCCCTCTATTATGATTGGACTCTTTCACAACTAATTATTTATCTGCTATATTTCATTTGTATACCAGGAGTTTGGAAATCACGTGACGAGTTGAAAGCAATCCGTTGTTCCCAGGCCCTCTTTCAACCGAAAGCTTCCATCCGGGATAAATTCCTGAAGAATTTTGACGAATGGAAAGAGGCGCTGCACAGGAGTATGAATTGGTACAAATGGGACTGATTTTCTCTTGGTACAGCAGAGAATTTCGTCTTGTTTTATTTCATCGTAAATAGCTTATAGTATTAAAACTGTTACTATTTGCGGCTGAGTTACGCGGGTAGCTATAGTGAAGCATATTAGGCTATATAAACTATTTGACCCTTGAACTCTCAAAAGTGATTAACATGTTACTTCTCCCCATAATATTCATACATTATTCAGCAAACAGGTAGTGAGAATACTCAAACTTATAAAGTAGAAGTTGTTATCTTGATCTAGCACCAAATTCTCGTGACAAGTTTTACAAGGAAATGTTTGGCAGCTCGAGGGGAGAATTAACAATCAGATCTTGGGAAGATTAAGCCATGGTTTTTTTTTTAATTATTACACTGATGGCGGTGAGGGATATGAAAAAGAAGCGATTATTAAATTATCGTGGACATTTTCCATGCCCAACTGCTCATATTTTATACTCAATATTTCGAACTTTTTCAAACTCACGTAAGGTTGATTTACTTCATTAAATTAAGAACACGTCATGCAATACAATTCTGTCACGTCATTGTGTCACTCCACAGACAAACCTTGTCACAACTGTTAAAACATTTCTTCCTTACCTCAGTGAATGGTAAAATTGGACCGCCTAAAAGAAAAGAAAAAAAGTGGCAGGGGGAGGGGTGTTTCAACAGAACTTAACGAGGGTATGTTTGAGTGATTTAATTTTTCTGAATTTTCTTGAACTCTTTCCTTTTTTACCAGAGACTGGTTTTGTTTTGTTGTATTGATTTTTCGGAAAATTATGTAATGAGTGTCATATCTATTATAAAAGATGCGTAGGTAGCTTTACTAATAGATATAAGGTTTTGGACAACAGTGTGTTATTTTGTTTAGCGGTCCTCAACGTTCTCGCTTGTTTTTCTGCATTGTGCAGGGAATTGCACACTTCATCCTGGAGAAATATACGTTTAATGAATTGTGCCATTTTATTTAGTTTCTCTCCATAAGTTATATCATTATTTAATGTATATATTTGTAATCAGATCAGAGCATTAAATGACACGATTGACTAACTAGGAAGGTTTTGCTATGTTCCTCTTAACGAGGTGTCATTTCCTTATCACACTCAGTGATAAAAAAATCGCGTACGAGCAGGCCCTCATTAATTAGTGCTTCAGCACGAGCGTTTCTTAGCCCGTGGAAAGTAAGGAGTCTAGCACTGAAAATAAACGAGAGCCGGCGAGAGGTATGCAACGAGTCTGGCACTGAAAATAAACGAGAGCCGGCGATAGGTATGCAAGGGGTCTGGTACTGAAAATAAACGAAAGCCGGCGAGAGGTCTGAAAACAAACGAGAGCCGATGAGAGGTATGCAAGGGGTCTGGCATTGAAAATAAAGTCACACCACTGGGAAACCTCTCCCCGACTTGTCTTAAATCTTCCCGCGAGCGGAGAAACGTGCATCCTGCACGCATGCCGGTGAATAATCACTTAACTTATCCCCTTGCGTCACGTAGGGATCAAGGTATCGCGGAAAAATTAAAGACGTAGTCTGATGTGATGCATTCTACTGTTTTTTTTTTCTTATTCACACTTCGCCATGCTTGTTCCTCTAAGGTAATTTTCTTTCTCGTTGAACAAAAGTTTTGTATTCTTCAAGTTGGTTCAAATTCGGTTCTTTCAAGCCTATTTGCGCCCTTAATTTCTAGAAACAAACTTTATCAGGTTCATCATAAGATCTGTTATAAGAAAACAGAATTCGGCACAATTTAGGTACATTTCCTACAAAGTAAGAGATTGCTCCTTTTTCTGTCCGTCTCAAATTTGCTTACTAAAATGTAGTTATTTTTCCGAAACAAATCCCCACCTACCTAATACCTAAGGATATCCCGATATTCCGTCATTGGGGTGAAGGGGCGCGCTCTCGGAAACAAGATTGGCAAACGAGTCGGAAAGCGAGGAATCTGTAGAATGCCTCAGGTCTTCCTTGGCCTTGGCCAGGGTTAGCGATAAGTTACTTGGCATATTTTTTAGCTACAATTGAATTGATCCTTTGAGCTCTTCTGCAGCTTTGTAGGAATTTTTTTTGTTTTTTTTGGGGGAGGGGTTTTTGCGTTTGGGTGGGTCTGCGTATCTATAGAACCGAGAAACTCGACAAACAAGTTAGTTAAGCAAGCGGTTCATAAAATTCTTTCATATTTGGGACCCGCTCATATCAGCACAGTATGAAAAGTAAGCAATTATGAATCCTTTTCGATATTTAATGACCTCACTGCTAAGATGTAAGCATTAATTTTTGTCCTCGTATTACCCTAAAGGAATACATGCAGCTTTGGCGCATTTCTTGAAGAACTTCTAAGTCTCACAACAACTTGCGGTATTCATGGAGGATATATTGTTTAAAAACATAGAGGGATCATTGGAATATTGTAAAGGGGAAGTCTAGCGGCTATCTTTTTTTTTTTTCTTTTTTCAGTTAAGTATAAGTTTCGAAAGGGAAGTTCTGCGAATATTTATATTTAAGAGTGATTTATGAGAACAGAAAATCGCGATGTGCATGACTTCATCAATTTCGCGTATTCAAGCTGAATCATGGACAGAAAAAAACCAAGGAAGTTATATGGAAGTTAGTATGACTCGAAGTTTACGTACAATACAGGTATTAAATTTTAATAGTGGAAAGCGATCGAATTTTGCTATGAGTAGAACGCACGCGCATTCACATGACTAATACGCTGTACAATTTCTAGTCCGCGCATACTAGCAGAAGTAAGTTCTTGACGGCAGAATTGTGCCCTTCGTCGTAAAACCTTGATGGCTTCCGCTCATTGGAAACTCTATCTCAGATTGAAGTCTATTGTACATTAGTATGCGCAATATCTTCATTCCAAAAATAAACATTACGAACCAGATATTGAGTGTAATATTAAGACATTGCGATAAAGCGAAGATATAGTATATCGGCGGCTGAGGTAAAACGGAAGGAGGTTTGACGATTCCCATTAACCAAAGAATCTTTCATCTCCCACTAAAGCGAATATGATTGTTCCATGAAACATGTCAGTCTGTTAAGTTGAGAAATTCAGGATATCTGGTAGTTAGAATATGACCGCTAAAGTGGTGTGACCCTGACTCTGAGGTGGTCTATCGCCGCCGATTGTTGTCTTAATTTACGAAGTATTGAAAGCTGTAAATCATGTGGACTTACTAAACCTGTCTATCAAATAACTATGTTGGCAGAGGATTAAAATGAGGCTTGTATCAACAGGCGGACGATAAAATATTTAACTGCCTTTTACCAATCAGAGAAATATGTGGAATGAAACTTATAGAAGGAAATGATGTAATTTGGAGTAACACGTACACCGTGAATCGGATATAAAATATTCGGTTCTTTCGTCATGTCATATATTCACTTCTTTTCAAGAAGTTAAAAGCACGCAGTTTGCACGGAGTCAAAAATTGATACGTGAAGAAGAACATCATCTAAGGTTGGTGTACTTTTATTTTTGTTATCAGTCCGTTTTGAAGGTCAAATTTTGCCAGACACTCTCATGCAAGGAACGAACGTCACTTTATTTACGTCAGTTATGTGAAGTCCGAGTGAAGTGCATCCAGGCACGAAAATAGCAGGATATGTTGATTTCCAAAGCTGCACGCGGTTGTGAGGTTTTCTGCAGGCCTGCAGGCTACATTGAGCCGTGTAAACGTTCACTAAGAGCAGTACCATTCTTTTTGACAGAGTCCGTCGCGCGAATTAAATGAAAAAAAAACAGTGAAAATGTATTGATGTTAGCAAGCTCAAAGTTCCGCGCGACTCGCCAACAGCAATTTTATTTTTAGGCCGACTGTCTATGACTCGCGCGACGGCATCACAGATTAGGAAGGACTGCTCGTAGTCTAGTGTAAGCGAGACAGCGTTATTTATTGGCACCATAGAAGTGGAATTCTTGTCAACTGACATATACATCCTCGTGCATGTTTGACAAACACCTGTCAGAGGCGGTTGAACTGTGAGACTTCGAGTTCATGTGTTAAGTGTGTGTTTAGATAAAAGAATTGACGAGAGCGTTAATAAAACAAAGGCATAGAAACTTCATAGAAAATTGCATGTCGCTTCTAAATCAAATGTTGACCTTTTCCAGAGCCATGTTATGAATTTCTTGTTTTGACTCCACAAGGACATTCCGCAAAGCTGAACATGACCAAAATGGTGCTTTAATTCTTGGGTCACTCGATGGTGAGAATGGAACTAATTTTAAAAATTGGCTTTCGGGAATTAAAGCACGTGGAGATCTGAAAATCAGATTTACTATTATACTGCAGATAATATACTTTCAAATAAAACAAAAGGAAACTTTGTGAAGGAAACAAAGTTTGTCAAATTACATTACACCTCAAAATGTTTAATGTAAGTGTTCGATCCAGCACCGGAACTAACTAGTGATACAAATCCTCTTTCTGTTTTGTTTTGTTCTTTTTTTTCTTCTTGCGGTCTGAGTAGTAGTAGTAGTAGTAATGGTGTGATCGATGTGAACAAAAGAACATTCTTGAATTTGTTTTGGGGAATATAATGCTGTTTTGGATATCATTCGTGAAAACAATAAAACGTTCACCAGAAAATCATAATTTGTTATCTTAAAATCAGATTAACTAAAATACTGCGATTTAAATGAGCGAAAAGACTGGACATAACACATTTTGACAAAAGTGGCAAAATGACACAGTGAACTGCTATCGATAGAAATAAAATTTTCACAGCAAATGATTAAAAAAAAAAAATCGCGGAATCTTAACCCTCTCTTTTAAGACGATTCCTTCAATAATTTTCAGATTGCGTGTCCAACAGACGAAATTGATAGTTATCAATGCTAAGATTATGCGCGCGGTGTTTGTGATCTATAACAAACAAGCACCAAAACCTATCAAAGCTGTTTAAATTTACCTCCCAAACAATACCTCCTGTCAGGATTGCAAGAAAAAATGATTTAAAAAATAATTAAGTAAAATATTTTGCATACACGATAATCACGCGAGATCTCAGAGACACGCAATCGCTGGCAAGTGTATATTATCATCAACTGGTCGAATTCGTGTTTATTTTGTTCAAGAAAATGCGGTGACTCCACTTGGAGGAATCGTGATAGTATAGGCTCGTACCGCTTGGGTCAAGTTCAAACTGTAACCTTCAGGTTCAACGGACGCGGAGTTATTTATAAATATTAATTTTCATATTTAATTAAACCACGTCTATATAAATAGAGCATGTTTTGTGCAAGAATATCAGAGACTTTGCTCTTCATCGAGGAATGTGCTAATTGTATTATACATCAGTAAAGTGAATCAACTCACTGGAATTCACCTTGGAAATTGTAGCTGCATAGGCGACATATTTTGTCGACAGACAAAACATTTTAACGAAGACCGGCGCATTTCTACAAGTATTTATTTTTTCCTTTTTTTTTCGAAGGTAAGTTGTCGTAATTAGACAATTTTTTCTCTTTTTCTAGCCTCAACATAATTTTTCCCTTAAAACAAGCACCTGAATTTCTACTTATGGATTCTTTAAGACAATGCACGCTATTTGAGCGAAATCTGAGAGCGCGAAAGCGTTTTTCGTCATTCACTACGTCATTCAATACACTGAAATCGCATTGATTCAATTCAAACACAGACATATTTACATAACAATAATTTCCTGTCGAATAAGCTTAAGATGTCACACTTTAGATAGACAAAACATAGATTCACAGCAAAAAAAAAAAATAAAGAGAAAAATTAAAGGTAAATTCCTGGCACGTTTGGATAGGCGTGCATTGACGCATGAAACGGGCGTTCAATAGGAAAAAAAATTAAACTTCCTACAGGAAGTGCAATAAGTTCTCAAATCGGCCACAAATCGGCACTTCCTTCACGCGAATGCGTGGTAAATGGAATCCCCCACGTGATCTGAACACTCAGTTGTGATTGGTCAACGACAGCCGTAACCTCTACGGCGTGCTTCACCGCTCCTACCCCTCCAGTGTAGACAAGTTTTCTTGCATTTCAATGATTATGACAATGAAACCATCGCTTTTTCAATGCAGAAATTTACGGATTTAGACGTTAGAAGTGTGTTTTTGGTGGTAATGGTTGCACGCTGTGGCAAAAGGGACTGAAAAACTTATGGTTCGTGGGAACGTTACCGGAGGACAGTTCGACCATCAATTTGGCCTTTTGTTTTTGTTAGATGCTTGAAATTTAGTTCTGTCACTCGCGTGGGGTATTTGTTGAGCGAATCTGATAAAGTTGGCGAACTTGGCCAGTAATATGCTCAATGGTTTCCCAAGTGGATGTCTTGAGCGATCGAGAAAAGGAGATTTTGTCGAATTATGACAGGTTTGGATGTGTATGTGCCCATTCCTGTTCCTGAGTTAGTTGGGTTTACCTGATCAAGCTCTCTCATGTGTTATTTCTTTAGCCGATTTTACGGATTTCTACGAATTCAAGACCCAGTTGGAGATCCATCACTGCCTGACCTGAACCACAAATCGTTATTGCTCAAGGTAAGTTTGAGGTTTGATGACTCTATGTTATGGACTTTTTCTGCAAAGTTTATGATTTCTGTTGATGCACTCGGCGGCTATCATCTTTGCTGACAGTTTGCCGGGAGCATTAATTGTTTGGTAACCGAACAATTATGCGAGCGACGTGGAGTAGAACCATTCTTTATTTACAGTAAACACTTTGCTAATGTGAATAATTATAATTTGCCTTTGAATCCAGGGTGTAGATTTTTTCGAGAAAGAATTGCAACGAGAAGGGAAGTCAGTTCATCCATCCACATTCTGCAGACTGGGACATATTCACCTGTTGCTTGACGACTTTCCTAAAGGTACTGTGAAAATTAAACGGCACTTGGTGAGAAATTGCGTAAGGTTTTAGAGTTATTCCCATATTTTATTACCTAGTATAACGAGGGTTGTTTCTGATCGAAAAGGTTTCGAAAGAAAAGTAAAAAGCTAACACTTTCCTTCCGTGAGATAGTCAGTCTGTGCACTTCAAAGGTTTACCTCTAAAACGTAGTTACAATTGGTAGTGATTTATCGTCTAATTTCTCGATTCGTCGCTCTCTAAATGTGTCTTGTATTTCATTCTCAGCGCTTTCAGCTTACCAGAGGTTCTTTAACGTCCAACAGGTCGATTATTGGAAGGTAAAGTTAGCGTATTTTTAATGTTTGCACTCGTGCGAACTTCTTCAGTGATAGTGTACACTTTATTGTATTGTGTTTTCACAAAGCAGGCTTTACATCGCCATGTCGTCGGGCATTTAGAACACACTTCAGCTAGGAAAAGTTTGTGCACACTTTAAGTATTACAGTTTAAACGGAAACTGTAGCACTAGATCATTCCTGTGGTGTTGTATTTATCTTACGAAGAGTTCCTTTTGTTTTCATTTTACGACTTTGATATGGTCGACGAGTTCAACTTTCACTAGAACTCAGTTCGAACTGGAGGTTGTTGTCATGTTTTTAACAGAACCTGTAAACCAGGAAGAGTGAGACAGTGTCCAACCAAAAAGAACGAAATATTTCGGTTTGGTATTCACATAAGGAAGTTGTTATTTTTTTCAGTTTAGTCAAATGAAATATATTTGAACCGCCAAATCCTCAATTGCCAGACAAAAGACATTTGTGTTCATCAATTATTGAAGAGAGGAAATTCTATTTTTGCTGATTTTAAACTCTTTAGTAATAGCAAAGGGCAAAAGCGGAAACTATTTGCCACTCTCACGTTGCTCAGGGAAAATCCCATTATTACCATGGCCAATTTTCCACATTAATGCAAGCTCGATCTTGTTCTCGAAATTGATTTTAATAGCCTTGCCTCTCCTACAGACTTGTCCTATACATTTATAAATTTAGCAACAGATTGTAAGTAGCCAAGTTCAATCCAAAAATGAAAGAAGATACTTGTGTTATTTATAAAGCTCACTTTCATTTCAATTCAGGATGCGCCAATGTTTCTCTGAAATTGCCCTAATTACTCAGGGAAAAATGCTTGACACAAGAAAATACTGAATTCAAGTCAAGAAAAATTAGTATTTATGTATGACCATTTACTGACAAAACTAGGTTTTTGTTATAAAATTCAAACAAATGATTCTCAAGGAACAAAAAGTTGTTACTGGTATGGTGCCAGAATTACCTAAATATGTCTAATTAATTTATTTTAGGAAATTTTATTTGTGGTGGTGTATACATAGTGAATGATTGTATGACATGTCACAAGGGTGTCAGTAATGTAAATTGGTTTTCGAGCACCCAAGACTGTTTACATCATGATGTTTTTGTCTATTATAGTTGAGATAACATCTTCAACTTGTTATCAGCATGGTAAAAAAAATTTATAGCTCCAGTTTATAGAGTGACGCAGGGCTTACATGTATCTGTGAAACTTTGAAGATGTAGCGTTATTGTCACTCACTGTGGATCAGAGGGGGGGAGGGGTGGGTGGAGGTTAGTCTATCACCGGTTGTCTCGCAGCACAACGTCAGGTATCCATGAGAAATGGCGAAATTTTTTAGGTCAGCTACATGTCAAAAATGAACATATCCAAGTGGGAGTCTGATTGAAAGCTTTATACAAGACAAGTTTTAACTAAATGCAGGGTTTTATTCAAGATGCAATTTTCTCATCGTTAAAAGCTTGCCGCTTTTAGGTTGTAGAATTTATCTGAGCCAAAGGAAACTTTGAAAAAGTCACATGAAAGTCGATTGTCTCAAAGATAAGGATTTGATAGCTGTATGTATTATTTCAAAATAGTGTGATATGTAATTTGAATCGTTCATGGTCAAATCTTTGGAAGTTAAACATGAAGCTTTTCTTCAGTTTTTAAGTTATCATCTCTTGTTTATATCATATCTGAAAGCATGCAAAAGTACAAGCAAGAAAGAGAAAAGTTATCATCTATATTGGTTGTACATGTTCGCACATAAGTAGCCCACAATTAAGCGTCAAACATAGCACTCAGTGTCCAATGTTATACCATGAGAAGGGATTGTTCATTGGAACAAATTTTTGGTGGTGATTTTTTTGTACTTCCCGGGGTGGATTCAGTATTGTATGAGGGTTTTGAAATCTAATATTAATCAAATTAGTTCATCTTTCGGTTACAATACATGTAGAGTTAAACATGTCTTCAAAGATGTATTTTAAATGACCAACATACTGGTGCTGGAAAGCAGTAATTTTTTGTCCCTTGTTTTTGGACCGTATACCAGATACTATAATGTCTATTTTGAAGTGCTATCTATTGTGGTCATGTTTCTTTCGAGGTTAGCATTTAAAATACATCTTTGAAGACATCTGCATTATGTCACATTCTTCACACTCATGTTCCAGTTTCTGTGGGGTGAAATTTAATCAGCAAGAAAAAAAAAATGACCACACGGATAGCTGATAATTCTAGTGAAAGAATTTTGTCATCATCAAAAGCATCATCAAGGCTTTTCGGCCAAAGAATTCTACACAGAGCTTTTTTTCCCTGAATTTCCAACAAGAAAATACACTGTATCTTATGACTTTGTGTAGTTAAGTTACACTTTTTCTCAGGGTCTTGCAGTGTTTTTCCCTCTATCTCTGATACATAGTGAAACCAGTCTTCACATAAAGTTGTTTCAATAATTTCACTTTTTGTTGGGGGAAAAATTAACAGAAGTGAGACCTTTGTTACTATTACCATTGGTTGCAATATTTTGTCCTAAATATGATTATTCCAAATTAGATGGTAAAAATTATCATTATCCTTTATTGCAGAGAGGACAGCCAATAATTCTAAGTTAAATGAGCAATGAATTTTACTCCAATTATATATATTGCATCTATCTTGCCTCTTTGCCCTTATTTCAATATTTTTTTAGTAGTATTTCCATAGAGCAACATATTGCATGAAAGAAGAGACATTGATGTTGAGTAGGGAAGGGGACCAGGGCTGTTTTATTTCTTTCTTAGTGAGGTATATGTATTAACATTTTCCAAAGTGACGCTTTAATACATGCAAAAATAGAGTTCTTATCAGATTATGTCTCTTATTGTTGACAGACTCAAAGCTTTATTTGTGTAAGTAAATTACCAAAAGGTTAAACCTTTTATATTGAGGAAAGGAACCACATTCTGCGCAAGTTTTTTAAGTTGGTAATTACTTTCCAAAAGACACTTAAAACCACCTACAAATGTGAATGGATCTTGTTTTCAACAGTGCATCACTGTCTGCATTGCATGTAGTGCTCTTTTTCACCGTCCATTGTGTATTTTAAGTTCCCTTTGCAGGAAAGTTTTATTCATGTTTGTCTCTACTACATGTTCATTGATATTGTTATTTATATGCACCATGATAAATTCTTACAATTACATGAATGATAAAGCATGTTTAGCAAATATTGATGTCAAGATTTTTGTATTATGGCAGTACAGAGAGTGACCGTAAAGAAAACTTAACTTGCCATATTCACAGGGTTCATGTTATTGATTGAAAGTAATTGACAAGTTATAATTCTTGAAGATTTATGAGTGTACTTATTTAACTTTACTTATGCTCTAAACAAACCCAAATCCTTAATTCCTTGCTGCACATGGAGCAATATTAATGTTAGGCATAATATTGTGAAATTACTATGGTAACATTTTCATTTTCAAGTGGACTCACGGTATGCAAGTACATTGTAACACTAACTATACATTGTCTTAATTGTCTTTCTTTTATTCCATTTACAGGATGCGACATTTCTTTATGGCCTAGGGATTGTATATTTTAACTTCTCAGCATATCCCTGGTAAGAGCAACCATTTCATCCCACTATTTTCAGTTGAGTAAGGTGCATTTGCGGAAGTTTACCAACCATGTTTTGACGTCAAAATCATGTTGTTGGCTGCGGAAACTGGGTCGGTTTCCAGTGGCAACAGGCTTTCAAGTTTTACATTTGATGATACACAGCTCTTGATATTTGGCTTTCATTAGACAGCTGGCTGTGACAATACTGTTATTTCATGGTTGAAACCCAGTCACCAAACTTTTTGCATATCTTACTCAACTGATACTTGTGGTTAAGAATACTCCTATGTAAGTTTATTGTAAAGCATGTTGACAGTCAAGTCTTCCTAAACTCTTAAACTGTGGTAATGGCTTCTATTAGTAGTTGGTGGTTCAAATTCATCATTGGTTTTTACTTTTTAAACCAGTATTGATATGTGATTTTTCTTTATCAAAATTAAACTGGCTTGAAGAATTTTGAACTAAAGAAAATATTTACCTGTAAGTACACCTGTATATATCTTGAGTCTCTTGGGATATTGCAAAATTACAAAGTCCTTGGTATTCTGGGTTTCTCAGCTGTCCCTGGTTCTCTAGCATCCCTGGTGCACTTAGTGTCCTAAATTTGTTAAGTGTCCTTAGTATGTCTCAGCTTAGACTATAAGCAGTCCCTTCCTCTCAGTAAATATCTGTTAGTGCACCATGCAGAATTTCACTTAGTCTGTAGTCCTTGTGTTTCAAGCAACTCACTCCCAAAGTCCCCAGATGCCCTAGCCATCACAAGGGTCTTGGCTGTCCCAAGTGTAGCACACCAGTCCCATTCCTTTCAGTGTCCCAGGAGTCTCGGGTATTCTAGGCCTCCCAGGTGTCTAAAAGGGTTCTTTGATGAGTCAAATCCACACATTTTCATTTGTCTCCCCTAGTATTAAAAAAGCCTAAAAATTTCTCAAACCATTGTGATTACCATGGCAACATTACAGCCTCTAAACGTCAAGAATTAGTTTGTTGACCTCATGTCTCATTGTTGCATTGCAATCAATAACTCATTTAATGTTGAAGATTTAGATATATGAAAATTCACATATTTGCACTGCGGTGGAAAGATGAAATTAGAAGAAGATCCTCGCAGCTAAGAACACTACTGAAACTAGTAGTTGTAAGTAGGACCTGAAAAAAATTTCAGGCCCGTACGGGATTTGAACCCATGACCTCTGCGATACTGGTGCAGCGCTCTACCAATTGAGCTAACAAGCCAACTGGGAGCTGGTCAATGAATTGGGTACAAATAAACATCCGAGTGAATGAAGATTTAGATATATGAAAATTCACATATTTGCACTGCGGTGGAAAGATGAAATTAGTTCATAGCCCCCTTAACTATTTTAAATTTGTGTTGGTATCAATCTGTCACAAAAAAGGGCTTCAGTAAAACACCCAAACCATCTGGAACCACCTGAAAGGACAATTTATACCTAAAGAAATCGTGTATTTGATTCTGTTCAACAGGGCAGTAAAGATCTTTCAACAAGTGCTGTATATAGACCCCAGCTTTAATTGTTCCAATGAAGTTCATCTCCGACTGGGAATCATATTTAAAGAACAGGGAAGCTGTGAAGCTAGTATTAAAGTAAGTTAATATTGAGATTGTTTGATAAGTTAAATCTCTGAAACACCGACAAAACAGAGCAAGGAGTAAGTTTTTCTATTTACTCCATAAAGGTGGGGTTAAGATTATGAAGCATACATTTCTGAGGAAAGTGAAGACCAATGTCAAATTTGTAATTGAAAGAAAAAAGCAGGAGTTTTTATTCAAATCCACAAATTGTTGTGCAACTCCTTTTGGCAATTCATAACTATGTTTTGTTTTGTTTGCAGCATTTTCAAATGGCATTAATGGATTCCAGCCCTTGTTCTTTATCAAAAGTTGAAAGTAAGCTAGTAATGCTTATGTCACAAATAGCTTTATATGTTTGATTAGTCTGAGCAGCATGGGAAAGAGCACTTTTAAAGTAACACCTACTTTCCACATTATGCAGTCCATAGAAGGCCTATAGATTTTCAGATTGCAATAGTGAAGATTTAACAATGTCTATAACATTAAATTTTAGGGGCCATGTATCGTAGCCATTGAAACAGTTTCTGAATTTTCAATGTTCTTGCTCAGATTAGATATAAGTGTTAACTTAAAATTTTGTTTTTCTCTCAGTTCGCTTTCATCTGGGACACCTTTTCGAGATGCAGAACAAATGTGATTTAGCGCAGGAAATGTATGAGACTATCATAGAGACTCCTAATACGCCTAATGCTGTCAGGGCTAATGCTTACAAACAATTAGGTAAGTACACGGTTGGTATTGTATTTAACAGAGTGGTTTTCACTTACAATGTCACTTGAGATTAAATGGGAAATAGGGAATGGGTAGTCAGGAATTGGGATTGCTAAAGCTACCAAGATCTTTAAACTATTTAAAATTAACCTGGTAACCTTAGATCTCAAGGTGAAAAACGAAATCAGTTGTCTGAAGGTTTGCTCTGTGTTTAGCCTCCAGGCACCACATGAGATTTGCAGATAACAGATTTCTACATATAGTTACAGTTTTTAAGTTGTTTAGTCATAACTGGACAGTTTCTATTCTTTTCTCTTAAAAGGGTGGATGTATTACAACAAAGAACACCTGGGTGACAGAACATCCAGAATGGAAAAAGCTGTCCAGTTGTTGCTGAAAGCTATTGAGACAGATCCGAACAGTGGTGCTGCATGGTATTTAATTGGAAGGTAGGATATGTTTTTTATTGTTATTAACAGCTCTTTTAGCCCATTTCAAAATATTATGTCCTTAGCATTTTACATTTTCCTCACTGGCTGGACCCTGTATCATTTCTCTACTAATTGTGTTCCACAAGCTCAAATTTTAACAGTAGATTATTAGGGTTTAAGTTATTGAATCCACATTACTGGTAAATGTTTTTGTATTGTAGGTGTTATGCCATGCAAGGAAAAGTTCATGATGCTTTCACTTCTTACCGTCATGCCATTGACAAGTCAGAGGCAAATGCTGATACATGGTGCTCCATAGGGTAAGTTCTTTCTCACACCAGATTTTCTGATGTTAAAGTAGTTATTATTTTTGCGGAATGTAATTAAAACCATTGAACATAAATCTTAATTTTTTTTTGCAGTGTATTGTATCAACAGCAAAATCAGCCCATGGATGCTTTGCAGGCCTATGTGTGTGCCATTCAGTTGGACCCAACCCATGTGGCAGCATGGACAGACCTAGGTATTCTATATGAAGCCTGTGAACAGTTGAGGTAAAGATATTTTGTGTGCATCTGCTCAGTGTCCTCCAAAAACCTCAGCAGCCAGAATTTTCACCAGCCACTTTTTTCTGAAGCACCTGCTTCTTCAGTAGAACAAAATGGTGAAATACCTGTGTTGATCTGAAATAAACTGTAACCCTGGCTTTATTTTTGTATATATACCCAAAACCCCTGATTAAAACTGGAAAGAAAACGATGAGTAAAGACAAAGGGAATAGATACTCACAGAATAAGTGCTTGTGCCCATTAGGGACCCACTTGTTTCTTGCCAGTTATTTTTTTTGTATTGTTGGTCACTGAAAAATCTGTGGAGAACACTGATTTGCTCTTTTAATAGCCCAATATGAGAGCTGAGAATTTTTATGGGTCACTCATTAGCAATTCTCCTTTCTGTCTGCTTTACTATTCTTATGATGCTAGTTCAGAGAATTTGTCATTGGATCAACTAACAATCACCTAATTTATAATTTTGTTTATTTCTATCTTGTGTCTGCTTGATATTGTATTGGTATTGTGAGGAGAAACTCCATCTTCAGGGTGTGAAATAAATCTTTTTTTCTGATAGCCACTTGGCTCCTAGATTTTTCAAAGTGGTAGCCAATTCAAAAAAAGTTGGTCGCCATTTTTAAGGAAAACAAAACCTATTTTTACACTGTCAGTGTTCTAGATAGACCCTCCAAAATTAAGGTAGAAAAAAGATAGTTAACATGCTACAAAGTGGACACTAGGATGAATGATAAACAACGTACAAGCTCACCTAAATCCAAGATGGTGTCTAGTTGCGTTTTGGAAACGAACTTGACGAGGAAGTTTGCCGCGGATTTATCTTTGCAAATCTTTTTAATTCACTATGTTTCTAGGAAAGGTTATGATGAAGCATTCTAGTCACCAATTTGGCAACTAGTTTTCAGAATTTGGTCGCCAAAGTGAAAAATTTAGTTGCATTGGCGCCTGTATTAGGTGCAATTTCACGCCCTGATCTTGGTCACTCATTTAAATTGTTTGCGATTTTCTCCTGATGTCTGTTTTTTGGTTTATTTGCTTCTTTACTTGTAGTGATGCAATTGCATGTTACAGTGCTGCTAGGAAGTATGGTGAGTTATTCAAGTTAAAACAAACTCGATTTGTGCAATGTTTTTCTTCAATGGTAAGTTAAATTGAGTTAAGAGGGAATTATTCATCCTCAGGTGCAACCGATAATACAATCGAGGCTCGCGTCAAGGCACTGCAGGCTCAGCTAGCTATGATGCCTCAACAAGGAAAAGCACAAAAGAAGTAAGTTATTCCATTTTAGGATCTTTTGTAGTCTTAACTGTTTACACCTTAGCATCAGTATGCAGTATTCTCCATACTGTTCTCTTGAGATTTCTTGAGGCTGACAAGGAGAATTTGTTTAACAATCAAGAGCTTGTTTATTTGGTGATCATGTCCTTCATTCTTGTGACCTTAATGTTTGATAGAGTAGTGATATTGTAATTTAGGAGAATTTTGATGTTAGTCATTGTTAGGGGTCAGGAGTCAAAGTTTATAACTTCACTCTCAGGGCAGTCCAATGTTTGTTTTAAAGTTTTTCAGGTTTTTAGAGTAGTCTACTTTCTAATGCTGCACTTAGCTTTACAAAGAGGTATGTTGTTAATAATGTGACTTTTTTTTTTTAGGAATATTCCATCTGTTGATGAGGCATGGCAGTTACCTATTCCTGCAGAACTTACAACAAGGACAATACGCAATGCACAAGTAAGGCCTGCCATGGGTCCTTTGATGAAGAGCTAACTCTTGAAATTTCAGCTTAAAAAAACTCTTTTCAGAGGCCAGTTGACATTATTACAGTGTAACTCAGTTGCTAAAACCAAAATATCTTGTAATCCCCCCTATTATTTTGATATAAAAAGGAATGGTGTCATATCTTTTATTGTGCCTTTTAACGATACGTTTTCCTTTGAATCCAATCTCCCTACTTTTCTTTCCTCAAAGAATTTTTCCTTGTACAGTATACTCGTATTTATATACTTGTATTATGTAAATGCAGCAAAAACATTTATACATAGGATCTGTGACATGTAGGGAACCCAGTTAAGAGTAATACATTTTTTTTGTCCTGTAGGTTCCAAAAAAGAATTATTTTTTGGCTGTGTAGGAATGTTTTTTTATTGCTTGGTACAATAAAATTGAAATTCTTTATTTATTTGTAGGTAAAGCTTTTGACTAGTGCTCAGATGCAAGGTCTACAACAACAACAACTACAGCAAATGTATTTACAACAACAACAACAGCAGGTCACAGAACCAAACAATGTGCAGGCTCATGATGCAGTTCCTATGGAAAATGCAGTCATGTATTCAACGGGTAAAAATATGGCAAACCATGTTTCTTTGCATGATGGGAAGGCCGAAAATCACGATGAACTTAATCAATCTTCTGTTCCTGGTTCAAGCTCACAAGAAAACTGGCCTGATGCAGTCCAGCCACTGAATGGACAAATACTGGTTCCAACATGCTCTGAAAATCAATTTGCTAAATCTACAGACGGTTTGACACAAACTGTTACATCTAGCATCACAACCCAAGGAATTTCGCTTCCATTACCTGGGCCGTTCTCGCAGTCAGAGTCACTTTTCACAGAAGCACACAGCGATTCAGGTGTTTCTGCCATGGAAACCTCTATTGCAGGGGATGATCCATTGATGGCAGTCACTGAACAACAAAATTCTTTAGCAGGACCTGATGCATTGACGACTACTTCTCCTCTATCAAACTTCGTTTCAACGTCGTCCAATGCTTCAATGTTTAACTCAAGTGTTCCTAGTAGTCAAGGAGCAACTCTTCTTCAAGGCGAATCTGGAACAACAGCAACTTCTGAACAATCTCTTTCAAGTGGAATACACTCCACTCTCTTGAGTGAAATAAATTGTACTGGTGATGTGAAGCCAAGCCCGCTAACAGGAACTAGTGATCCCACACTAAGCAATGGACCCATGTCAATGTACACAGGATTTCCAAGTTCAGCTGCCGGTGCAGCGAGTGGAATATCAACCATTTCTCCCTTCTCACCTCCAAGTCATTACGTTATGTCGCCAACACAAAAATCGCCCTTTCACACGACCGCATCTCAACTCTCCCCAAGTCTTACTCAACCTTTGTCTATCATCAACCCAAGCTGTTTATCGCCAAGTTCAGGCCTACAGGGAGGGCAGTCCGCTTTCTCTCCTGCGTCTCTTATTCCAACGGATCTCTTATCTCCATCAAAACAACTCGCAGTCATCTCACCTAGCTCATCATCCAAGTCACCGTTCAACCTCAGTTCAGGGGGCGATAATTTGGCTATTCCTAAATTGAACTTGCTGTGTGATTCCAATGCGTTACCACACCCTCCAGATACTCCACTTCCTCCTCTTCCTACAGACAAGTTGTCACCACAGACACCAAGTATTTATGTAAGCATGTTTCCCATGTTGCTAAAATTTAATGACGTAAAGTTCATGTTTAAGAGAGAGGTATCTCTATATGACCATGTACTTGGACATGTAGGTACACTTTGCCCTTTACAAACATATACTAGCACAGTGTCTAGCTTTTAAACATGACTTTTATGTTCAAAAGGTTCACTTCTTTTTCTTTTCTTGGGGATTTTTCAGTTGTGATAATTCTTTTATTATTCCCGTGTAGGTTGAAAACAAGAAGGATGCATTTTCACCAGCACTTCAAAACTTGGTGCTAAGTAATTCCAATCCCATCCTAGTGATCAGAGGGCTAGCAGCAGCACTTAGATTAGGTTTGTATCACCGTCACTGAACATTTTATACACACCCATCTGTTGTGCAGCAACTGGCAACTAAAGTATGTTCACAGATCACTCAAAAAAATTTTCAACGGATAATCCTGTAGACTACGAGCAGGCCTTCTTCTCCGACGTAGTCTGTCGCGTGAGTCGAAAAAACAAAAAAAAGAAAACACAGAACTCCAGTTGAGAATGACTGTACAACTTGATGCTTAACACTATCCTAACGCTAACACTAAAACAGTCTGTGAATTCTTTTGCAGATCTTAGTTTGTTTTCAACCAAGACTCTTGTTGAAACAAATGGCGAACACCAAGTAGAAGTGAGGACACAGGTATAACTTATTTTAGCTGAAAACTCAGTTTCACAGTTCTCTCTCTAAATGGAGAGAAACTGTTTCTGCCTACAGAGCAATTTTCAATTGAGTTTCGAAAGTAATCTGGGATTGCATTGATTTTGCGTTACTTTGCTTTGTGATTGGTCCAGAAAACTCGCGCCTCTCTCTCAACCAATCAGATGCAGAACTAACACCAATCACGACTTGGTCACCCGCGTTTTCCCGCGCGTTAGGTTTGAGTTCTCATTGGCTCTTCAGGATATTTTCCTTTCTTCTCACTGGCTGTTGTTATTATGTCGCTGATGGTTGTATGACACTCAACTCTACTGACAAGCGCTCTAGTATCTAGGTTGTCTTAAGCCACTTTGCAAGTATCTTTATCTCGAACCTTTTGAGCCGGTTATTTATACGAGGTCTAACCGAAACCGCGACTAAACGCAAGTAGTGGGCCTCAGAGATTCTCTATCAGAGGGTTGATTTAATAAAATTATTGTCCTTCCTCTATAAGCTTTCGGCCCTCTTGACATTGTCCACAAAAATTAATGTTTAGATGAAAGGTTCGGTTAAATTGAAGATGGTTTAGAACGCGGTTTTGTTAAACAACGGCTAAACTTTGTTTAAATAACCCGCCCCTTAGGTTCAGGAAGACGATTGTCAGACTAGGTGAATGCTTAAGGTTGATGACAAATGCGCTGATTATCTTGCCTTCACTTTCAGAGACTTCAAGCGTCAGATGAAAACTGGGATGCTGCTGGTGAAAAGAAAGTCTGGTTGTGCGAGAGCAGCAGGTAAGTAATGTGATGGTTTTAAAAAAAAATTTTATCTGGATGACCTTCTACTTTGAAGGCATGGGTAATCACTGACACAAAACAATGACGCGGCTATCTGTGGTGTATCTTTTTCACAGGTCGTATACAACCATTGCAAAGTATGCCCAATATCAGGCGAACTCATTTCAAGAGTCTTTGAAGGTAACCTCTGAAGAGAAGTGATGGTAGGGCCGTTTATACGAGGGAAAATAAAACGTGGCTTGTAGAAGACGCGAAGTCATCGTATTAATGCTTCATTTACACTTCAATAAGCCGTGGTTCATGTAAGGCGAGGGGTTTGAGCACGTCTTAAATAAGCCGCGGCTTGAAGAAGATGCGAAATCACCGGCGTGAATGGCATTGCAGCTTACGTAAGACGCGAACTTAAACTGCGCAAGCGCAATTTTTCCCACGCATACGACCGCTCCCACAACTGTATCAAAAATAAGACGAGAATCATCAATACGAGCGCTTTGTGTCTTATTTACGCCGTGTTCGTATAGATGGCCCAGTTCGTCTCTTATGTAAGCCGTGGATTATTTTCCTCGTATAAACGGCCCTAGTGTAGACGTAGATTTTTACATTCGGATTTTGGAATAACAATGTACAGTAATAGTCATGAAACAAGTGAATTTACATACAAACCCCTTTGCAATCATAATCTGAGTAAATTTGTAAAGTAAGTAAAGTGTTTATTATGTTTGGTTACTTCAGGAAGAGCAGGATAGACAAGCGGGCATCAAAGAACCATCGCAATCAGACAGCGATTCATCGTCAAGCTCCAAGAAGTGAGTTCTGATTTTACTTATATAACAAGTCTGAGTTAGTTCCTTCCGTTTTCAAATCAGATAAAGTAATACTATATCATGCCCTCTTAGTTGCATCTTATTATATCTGTCAGTCGATGAGTGCGCTCTTATTGGTCAGTTTAGTGGGCCATAATTCATTGTACGGCCCGCCAAATTAAACAAATTAATTTGAATTGAAATCTTGCTCTTTATTTGAACCCAGGGACATGATAAATATCTCGCTAACCTCGTTTTATAGGTTCGTGCTGTGAGTTGCAGAACCTGTTTTTTTTTTCGTTCGGATTTTTAGCGCACATCGCGCAAGGGCCATCAATCTGAGCGGAAATACTCGGTCCTTAACTTACAGTTCGGATCTCGAACTTTGTTAGTGAGAGGTTTATATATATATATATAATGTACTGATCCTAGTGTAAGCTCATTGGGGTCTTTCTGTTTGCCTCCAACAGTGGCAGGAAGGGCAAAGGAAAGAAGTTCAAGTGGATTAAATTTGGAACTAATGTTGATCTTTCTGATGAGAGAAAGTAAGTTTCAGAGATACCGTTAGTAAATTGTACAAAAGGTTTTCTCTTTAGACTTGTGTTTTACAGAAAATGAATATTTACTCCATTTGTTTGGAATGTGCTTGACTTGCTTTGCTTTGTTCTCTTCAGATGGAAAACGCAACTACAGGAACTTACTAAACTTCCACCATTTGCCAAGGTCAGCATTACCTTGTTACACCAAATTTTTTTCGTCCTTGAATACAAACACCTTGCGAACCTAAGCCTCTACAAGGCATTCAGTTAATAAAACGGAGCGCGTTGGCAAACGGCGCGGTAATAGGAGCGGAGCGAAAAAAAAATGAGGGAAGTCTGGGTCTGATCCCGCACCCGACTAAACCTCCCTCGGTTTTTTTCACTCCGCCATTATCGCGCTTCGTGCATTATCGTGCGTAACTGAAAGCCTAGAATAGGCTATGTGAAAATAGAAGTAGTCTGCACATTGTGACAATCTTGAAAGTTCTTTATTTTATCGGCAGTCGTTTAGGAAGTCTACTGATTGTAACCTTTCTATGATCAGGTGGTGAGTCCGGGCAACATGTTAAGCCATATTGGTCACACAATCCTCGGCATGAACTCAGTGCAATTGTACATGAAGATACCAGGATGTAGGACACCAGGTATTTATCCGTTCAAACACACTTTGGCTAACAACATCCGTAACAAAGTTATGTCTACTTTGTGAGAAAAAAAAAAGGATGATCAATTTTTTAAGTGTTTTTTAGTGCATCTTTGCGATATTCTCTTGTCTCTGCGCTTATCTGGAAGGTGAAAAACCGTAAACATATTATAAATTGTGGTAGACTCAAACTGGTTGAAGAACAATTAGCTGCGTTCTTTCCAAGCATAGTAGAGGGGGCGAATCCACGACTTAAATTGAGTGATAGCGCGTAGAATTTAAATCAGCGATCTCTGAAACCCTAGTGCTCTGATTCTCTTGGCTATGCTACTGCAAAATTTTTTTATTTTTAGAAAAGGATCAAATATTGCAATATTTTGTAGTGTTAAACACTCCAGTGGTACATTTTGCATGACAGTTCCGAGTATTATTGCTTCATACAATGATAAGCTAGCTTTGTGCCTTTTGATTGTGTTTTTAGGTCATCAAGAAAACAATAACTTCTATGCGATAAATATTAACATTGGACCGGGAGACTCAGAATGGTTTGCAACTCCAACAGAATATTGGGGTGTTTTACACAACTTGTGTGAAAAGTAAGTAACTCGATCCAAAATGATACAGTAAATGATTTGAACCCGATGGTAATATAGTCCCGAGGAGGAGTGTTGTTGGTAGTAGTAACTGACATTTCGACAACCTTGGCGGAAGTCATCGTCAGACTCATATTGGAGACAACTTTTCTAATTATAACTTTTTGATTTTATTTTGCAGGAATAATGTCAATTTTCTAACAGGTAAGGAGCCTTTCACTACAACGACCCATCGCTTCTCTAGTCTCTCTAAACCACGCTCCCCACACCTCCCCTTCTTGGCAAGCCCTCTCCCCTACCTCAGTCCTCCCTCTACAACCTTCCAGCTCCAATTCTCATTTGTGTTCTCAAACACTGAGACAGCGATGGACGACTTGTAGCCAGAAATACTGGCACTATTTTTATGATTGCTGGTGTCTCCTTCAACCAATCCGTCTATCTTTAAAAATGGGAACTTCCTACATTCGTGCAAGTTGATTCGTCCACTTAGGTGCCTTAATTGTTTTGCTTTATTCAATTGTTTGTAAAGGCTCCTGGTGGCCCATTCTTGAGGAACTTTACGAGGAGCGTGTGCCAGTGTACAGATTTATTCAAAGGCCTGGTGACCTAGTCTGGCTCAGTCCTGGGGTAGTACATTGGGTACAGTCGTCGGTGAGCAGTTAACTCTTTTACTCTTAAGATCTCATTAGTAATTCTCTTTTCTGTTTGCCATACAGTTCTTGTTCTGTTAGTTTGGAGAATTTGGTGTTGGATCAACCGATGATCCCCTTATTGACATTTTTCTTTATTCTCATCACTTGTCTGCGTGATTTTGTATAGCTGTTGTAAGGAGAAATTCTATCTTGGTCACTCATAGGAGTACAAGGATGAAACAGTGTAATTTGAAATTACAGAAGTGCTAATTATGTTTCTCTCATTTTTGGTGATGAAAGTTGTGATAAAATTTACTTGTATTTTAGGGTTGGTGTAACAATATTGCCTGGAATGTCGGTCCTCTTACAGGTGAGTGTAGGTAGAGATTCAACGCAATTTATTTGGACGTATTCGTGACGTTCCAGTCATATTTCATCACTGCTACCTTTTTCATCAGGAACGCTTCATATCTCTAATATTAAAATGATCATTTTGCAGAGGACATGTACACAGCAGCTATAGAAAGATATGAATGGAACAAACTACAAGGTGAGAAATTGATTAACTACAGTAGAGCATTTTACAAACATCTTAAGGTGTTTCTGTTTTGTCACCCATGTTTCACATGGGGTAGTGTAGTTAGGCAGTAGCTGTATTAAGTATATTTTAGGATACTGACAGCAGATTATATCGCTTTTACTTTGATTTACTAGCCGTGTGATTACTTTACTTCTCAATTAAGCTGTTGGTTTGGTTCAAAAGCTCCACAAATTTCTTATGAATGATGATCGAAGAGTGATCAGTTTATCAAGGCATACTATTTGACAAAGCTAGGAAGAAGGCGCTTAGCTCCTTCAACTTTAGGTTTTTTACGGTCCAGGCCCCGGTTGTTCGAAGGTTGGATAACGCTATTTGCTGGATAAATCTCTATCCGGTGGATAGTATAGTATGTTTTTCGATAATTTATCCGCTGGATAGCGATTTATCCGTTGGATAACGTTATCCGACCTTTATACAACTGGGCCCAGCTGTCTAGTTCAATGCGGCCGATTTTAACTGTTATTTATAAAATTCCCTGCAATTTCAACTTCAGGTGAGAAGTCCATTGTGGCCATGCTACACTTGTCGTGGAACCTCGCAAGAAATGTGAAAGTCACCGAAAGGAAGTTGTTTGAACATATTAGGTGAGTCTTTGCGAAAATTGTATTCTTGTTCCCCTCCTCCTCAGATGATTGTTAATCCATGAACGAAGGCGTACTTTCATTGAATTGTTCCTGGAAATCCGTGCGGTTAGACTGTCTCTGTCCCCTTTCTCTTGCTAGTTGTAATCTCACAAGTGTTGCGTTTGATTTCAGAGTTGTGCTGGCCAGGTCACTCAAGTATTGTCAGATTACTGTGGAGAAACTAAAGCATGCTGGGATTGAGGTGATGTGGCATGGGAAAAAACACAATGAAGGATCTCATTACTGTTTTCAGTGCGAGGTGAGCAGCTCCTCTGTTGGACTACATGTTGTGTTGTGTTCTTCCTTGTACATTTTTCTCGACATATGGGAAGCGTTACAACACATTTTAAGTAGAGTTTAGGGCCTTGGAAGTGGCGAATCGCGCTTACTAGTTGATGTGTAACGAGCTGTGCAAATCTCGAGTTGAATTTTTATTACCCCTGATGATCAAATTTGTTGAAAAACCACGAAAGAAAAGTAGAGAGACCGGTAGCTAGAGTTCGTTGCATGGTGGATGATTAGCTCTGTGAGTTTTGAGCCCAAATTCCAATTTCCATTTCGCTTTTGCCGTTTTTTTCGGTTTTCTTTTGAGTCCTTATTGGCCTCTCATGACGTGTTCCCTTGATCGTGCATGTTCTACAAACATTACGCTATCGACATTGCTGATCCTAGCAGTATGCAGGACGCGTGTCATATGAACTTCGTAATAGACCTCGCTCACCGTGGAGTCCCTGTGGCTCAGTGGTCGAGCATCGGAGCGTGGAATCCGAAGGTCTGAGGTTCGATTCCTTATGGGGACTCAGAATATTTTCTTTGTCCCACGCTCGTGACAAGACAAAAAACATCTTCCTTTATTTCTTTGGATCTGTTTGTACGATCCTGTCGAGAAGCACTGTGACCTGCTTACAAACTCGTGCTTCTCTTTTGCTTCCTAGGTGGAGGTTTTCAATATTCTGTTTGTCACAGACAACAAGAAACACGTCGTGTATTGTCAAGATTGCGCCAGAAAGACCAGCAGTAATCTTGCTGGATTTATAGTCCTCAATCAGGTAAAAACCTTTCTCATTATAGAAACGCAGCTTCTAACTTTTGATCAATCATCGGTCTTTTAGACACTAGTGGTACTTGTCTGTGTGGAGTCCGTTTGAGAGCCGTCAGAAGTTGTGTGTACACGTAAAGTAGTACGTGTATCTTTAGTTAACCCTCTACGCCTCAATATCAGTATGCATATTCTCCCTACTGTTCTCTACACATTTCCTAAGGTGTAACAAGGAGAATTTGCTTAATAGTGAGGAGCTTCTTTAGTTGGTAATCATTTCCTTTATTCTCATGACCTAAATGTGTGATTCAGAGGTGATATTGTAAACAGAAAGTAGATGCTTGTCACCCTTAGGGGTTGAAGGGTTAAGGACAATTATTTTCAGCTTTTTTCGTTATTAACTCGCACGAATTTTCCCTTTTTTCAGTACACGCTTGAGGAGCTGACTGAAGTGTATAATAATTTTAAATTACATGCGGTAAGCGAAAGTTCTTATTCACGTATCTGAGATCTGTATTTTGCTGCTCAATACAAGCACGTTGAGTTGGTGATTGTTGACGAGTCGACGTAGTTAAGCAGCCATAATGATTTGTCAGCATTTTGTTATAATATATTCACAATTTTATCCTCTCCGCTGTTTTCTCAGGTGACTCCCCGAGCTGTGGAAGCCGTACTAGCCCAGAATCCCTCGCAGCCTTTAGGCGTGGTCGCCCAGGGTGTGAGCAATTTAGCGTAGTTAACATTTTTTGATACTGTTGCGTTTTCTGTTTTTGTACAAAAGAGAGGTATATTTTCTATAATGAACAAAGCGTTAAATTCAAGCAACGATCGAATTCTCATGCGAGCTGTATGATATTTAATTTAGGTAATGGAAGATTATATTTGAATTTTTCTGCCGGCGTAGCGCCGCGTCAAGTACAACGTAGTCTGAAAATTCAGCATTTTCCTCTCTCCGTTGACAATGATACTTTCCACTTCAATTCGATTCTCATCGAAATATCTCAGAGGTTTAATATAACATTTTTTCTTTTGTGTATTTTGCCCTTTCTCTTGTTAAGTTCGATGATGCGTCATCAGCTCAGACTGTTGCGTGACCATCCAAGACATTTTTGGAGGTCACGCAAAAATCGTTTTCGTCACGTTATGAACACGTTGCACGACTGCGTCAAGAATCGCTCGTTTTTCTAAGTTAAGTATTATTGTTTTTTTTTTTTTAATTCAGTCTTACCTAATCTTTCTCTATTTGATTCATTTTTTTTTATCAAATACCTGGAAAGAAATTTTTTACACTTATTGCATGAGATTTCAAAAAATCTTGGGAACAACTAATTATTAAAATTATAATCCGACTTCAATTTTGGGAGTGAGAATATTCACCCCACTTCCCTTCCTTACCTTTTCGCCTGTAAATTGTATTTTTGGCCGGGCTTAAATAAGCCACCATCCGTTGAAACTATCATGAATCGCGAGGATAATTTTAGCGGTACTCTGCTCGTCTTGTTATACACAACAATCTCGTCTGTAAATACTTGCCGTATTGTAAACGCTGTCTTTGATATTGCAGTGTAATTCTTCGTCAATTTGTTTGCAGCAGGCTAAGAAACAGCATCATCGTACTTTGCATAACTGGGTTTCTCTTTTCACTGGGACAAAATAAACTGGTTAACCCTTTAATTCGCTGTGATCAGAATGTCAATTCCTCTTAAGTTTTTCCATACACTGTCAAGCAGATAGCTTCTGTGAGCTGAGAAAGTTATCGGTAAAATTTCCGCACAACCCCATACTACATTATGCATTCAGTTCTTGAATAGAGAAAACAATGACAAAAACAATACATTGCCATTGGGAAAACAGATTTGTTTTACAATAGTATGGGGCTGTACGGAAACTTTACCAAGTTATCAGCTCAGGGAGACTGATTGGATGTAACACCAAATTCTCGAGAGTAATCAACTAAGAAAGATACGGGAATCACCAAGGAGAATTTAGTTATCGATCACGGGAGTGAGAGGGTTAATGTTACCTACTTACAAGTTCACGATCCCGCAGCGCAGCATTTAAATATTTAAATTTAATTTCCAACGCTAATTTAAGTAAAAATAGTTGGAGTGTAACAAGAGTGATAGTTTTATGACACAGCAACGCGTTGTGGTCTGTTGAATTGGAAGCACTGCTTTGAACAGTGAAACGATTATTTGTAAATTGTTTTATAGAATCAACCGTTTTTTGCCTAGTAGCGCGCTTTTGCGGCGCACAATCGCTATGGCCTTTTCGCTGGCTAGAAACACAGCACCCAACCGCCATAAAACCGCATCACTCTTCATTCACAATTCAGGTTCATTTCTTTAGCACAAATGGAGATGGAGATCCGTTTCCCTGTTAGTTTATCATTAGCTTAGGTGAGAAAATACTGTTCCTAGTTATAACTTAAAACCATAAGTTTTGTTTGTCGTTCTTACCACACGTTAACGCACTTTTTATTCAGTGAATATTCGTTCTGTATCTCTGGTTAATATGCGTCTACACTTTTTAAGTCATCTTTGTTAAACGTTGTTAATTTGGCAGCATTCACATATGTTTCCCAACGCTCACCGGAATTTGTGATGTTAAATTAATGTAAATTTTTGTCTTGCAATTTCATGTTCCCTTTCCTGACCTCGTCAAAAGAATTTTAGCTGATGGACGCTGGGAATGATAGGCACTGCTAATGATGAGGAATTTTTGTTTGGCTTTTGTTACGTGTGAGTGTTTCTTCTTTCACTCCCAAAGGCCTTTACTAGTAGTTTAGTTTTGGATAAGGTTTTGTAAGAGTGCCACACGATTGTCCATTGAACACTTGGTACGTTGCCTTTTCACCTTATCGTGTACAACCACATAGAGTGTCACGGCAGTAGTGCGTAAAAATGCAAACGAATCGACGGAGATTCATTTACAGAGGTCAATTAGTCAGCCCTCGTCAAATTGCCACAGAAATGTTGTGGTTGAATGTTAAACCATCGTGGATTTGATTTGCTCATTTGGTGGAATACTTTGGGAGTGGAAGGACTTAGGAGAGGTTCTATAGTGTTGAGCATTTTTGTGTAATTGAAGATTCGGTTTAAACTGAATGTGTGTAATTCGCTTTTAGATGACATGTTTTTCCCGGTTGTTAAATCAATCAAATGCCTTGCGCTGTGATATATTGCCACACTGTGGCGCTGAATAAAGATATTTATTTCCGTTACATGGTCCACTTTTCTGTTCAGTTCTGTTTTACTGCGTTCGACGTGGGAGAACGCATACTCGTCACGTCGTTTTTCAATCCCGCGGGTATCGATCGGAAGCCAGGCCACTCCATCTTGGACTGACAGGTACACATGGCCTCGATCTCATGCGGGTATCTTGACTCGCTTCGTCTGGATGCTATGGGAAGATATGTAGTTAAATTGTAGCCATTTGAACGAACGAAATGAGTTACTGCGCATCAGAACGGTGAGTCAAGGCTTTATATGATGGTCGTTGGTGTAATTCGGGATAATATAACACAGAGACGAAATATCCACTCCTAAGCTATATCAAAAGCATTTAACTAATCCATTATTATAACTAGTCAGCGGAAAATGTCATGGTCATGGTTAGAATTACTCAGAATTGCCGTTCTACCACATAACGAGAGGAGCAGAGCAAAACTACTCTTGTTTAAAGTAGACGCTTTCACGAAGTTGAAGTATTTCTGACTTACTGTTAGGTAATTACTGAGGGAAACTTTACAACTGTTCGACTTTCTTCCTTGTATTATTTATCGCCTGCTGGATTAACTCTGTTTATGACGACCCTCTCAGTTTGTCCAAACGGGCGTTTTTTTCAACGACAACACTTCCTTTTAGGAGTTATCTCACAAGTTCTCAATACTTAAGGGTTGTTGAAGTACTTACACATGTCCGATCAAGAATAGAATTCTCTTCACGAATGTACGGGTCCGACTGTCTTCCCTAAGATTTTGTTAAAATTCATGCTGCCTTTTCACTTTGAAAAGATTTTCTGTCGAGCAATGGGGTAATTAAGTCGACTAAACGAGAAACGGGAAGCGGGTCATCCTCTCATGAGTATCCTCTGTTATTCCATATTGACCCACTCACATCAAACGATTTGACTAGAAATTCTCATGGACGACAGAGTACGAATGTTAAAATAGGCGACTTCTTGAACATCCTTCAATCGAATAGATATTATTTCACCTTTTTGAAGAGGTACATGCACGTTGTAGACCACGAGCAGTTCATATTTCCATTCTAATCTTTCGCGCAAGTCAAAGAAATCGGCGAAGAAAAATAAGATACCAAACCAGTACAAGGTCTTCGTTTGGGAACTGAAAATCGCGTGGGATCCTGGGAACGTATGTCGCGCGCGCTTTAAGACGTCACAAAGGTAACCGAAAAACAAACTGAATTCGCCAGCAAACAGGGAACATCATGCAACGGTTTTCCTTCCATTTACATTTTGGTTAAACTGTCTTCGCATGGCTGTGGAATGAAGATCTTTTTACTGCTGTGTACGGTTTTCATCTGTTTTTCCTTGAATACCGTTCAAGGTAAAAAGCCCCTTTTTATCTATACTTAAGTTCAACTCCAACTTGTCCCAGCCTAACTTCGCGGACGAAACCACAGTTACTGTTGGGTGGGTCAGTTCCGCCGAGAAAGTATCTTCTATTTCGTGGCATTTTATCTTTTGTGAAAAACGACAGAAGATACCCCGAGATTTTCCTTAGAAAAATTTCACAAGTTTACGCGACAGTTCCATTCAACTCGCCGTTTGGAACACATAATTTTTAAGCTCAGTTAAGAATTTGTTTTTATCGCTATATCTGTTTTCTATTTTTTCGCTTTTCAGTTTTTCGAATTTAAAAATCCCCTTTCGATTTCAAAGATTTCTTATGGGAAGTGCACTGCTTATAGGGAAAGAAAAAAAATATGGATATTGTTTAAAAATGTGCGCGTGGCTTAGCTGTCCGATATGTGACTTATTTCACTCCTGGACAACTTTAAAAGTTATGACTAAACCAGATTCTGTTGCACTCAAAATTTATCTTGTACATTCATCAAATCAAGGAAAGCTTGTGCTCTCATTTGACACTGCTGCACTCGCCTCGGAGGGATCAAATACGACCCTTATTTGCCAGGATACAGACAGCAAGCTGCTAACAAACCTAACATGGTCATTTCAAAGAACTTCGGGTGATTTCGTTTTGGTTGAAAATGGTCTCCTGGCCCCTGGTGTCAGTGGAGATAAATACAAGCTATCAAATTCAACAACTAAGCTGCAGATTAATCAGCTTGGCGTCAATGACATTGGTAACTACACTTGTTGCATGAGAGGAAAACAGGGGGAGACTATTCTGAGTGCTACGGTTTTCTTGACCGTGGAAGGTAAGATATCTGAAGGTGTATATTCTTAAAATTTTAATAAGAGTTTATCGACAGATTTCGGCCTCTGCTTGTTTATCAAATCCGAAAAACAGGAAGATGTAGTGCAAATAAGGAAACATCTATTGCAACTTTCTCGTGTTCTTTTCACAATCCCAAGTGTGATTATTAGGTCGGTAATTCGATAGCCAAACGTGCGCATGCGGTCTATTGCTTTTATAAGATAAATTTTCTGCGGTAGTACCTCAGTTACTTTATAAAACAAAGTAGCTAGCTGTCACTTGCAAATTATTGTACAATTTAAGCAATAGAAAGGGAGAAGATGATATGTTCGCGAAAAGCTCAACGTGTTATCTATAAAAACCCACAAGCGTCCATTCACAGATGCTACAGTCTGATTGGCTACGTTACTCTCTATCTGTTCCTTGATAGATATTGATTAAAATAGACTAAAAGTTTGTGGTTTTAAACAGAATAAATTAAAAGCGCGAGCCTTCCTTATTATGGAGTTTTTGACAACTGGCGTATTAACTCTTTAACTCCCAGGATCTCATTAGTAATTCTCTTACTGTCTGCCATATAGTTCTTGTGATGTTAGTTTGGAGAATTTGGTATCGGATCAACTAATAATCCCCTAATCAACATTTTTCGTTATTCTCATCAGTTGTCTGCTTGATATTGTATTGATATTGTAAGGAGAAATTCTGTCTTGGTCACTCATGGGAGTTAAAGGGTTAATATAGAAAACAACTAATAGATAATTCGCTGTCTATTTCTATGCGCGACTGTTCATTCGGGCTCTTATCGAATATCACGCGATACAAGTCTCGAGCGAATAATCTAATTGTTAAATAAGAAAAATTCATTCTCTGAAGAAAGACAGCATTGAAAAAAAAATTTATGTGAACGAGTTATAACCTGATAGACCATTGTAAAAAATCGTAGGAATACTTTCATGCAAAATTGTAATCTCCTTTCCAAAACGAACGAGGTGCTACGTTTGTCGAGAACTGTTGCGCTCTTTTCGAGGAAAGCAAAAACAATTTGTCCGCATCAACTAGAAGTTGATTCATAGAGAAAAAAAATAGGCTGACCGCCAGCTTTTAGGAATCTTCTACGATGCTGTACTTATCTTTATCAACTTATAATTGTGTACCAGCTAATTTTCCCCTCAGTAATTATTATTAAATATATTTAAAATGTGAAGCTAATTAGCAGTGGAAATAACATTGCGAAATATACTGCTTCTTGTTTACCTCATTTTTCTATGTTAACTTTACGATATTTTTATATCAGCTTTGCCCAGAAATGGCCAACCCGCAAATAATCTAAGTTCCATGACTACAGTGCCTTCCGCAAGCGCTTCAAATCCCTCGAGTACTACACATCCCTCGAATGCATCGAATCCCGCAAGCGCACTTTATCCTACGAGTGTGGGACATTCCGGAGGTATATCAACCTTGTCGAAAGGAGAAGTTAAAGCACCTTTGGAAAAACTTCAACCATCACATTCTACTTCACCAACTATCATGCAAGGAACAACATCTCATCCTGTTTTGTCAACTTTGTCGAGAAATCCTGATAGAATTATATTAGCAAGTCAGGGTTGTGGAAACTTCAGTGACGACACAGGTATTGTAGCGATAGTCAATTTTAGCAACTGAACATTTGCGCACCTACCCATCCTCTAACCCAACAACAGCCAACAAATGTATAAGTAGGGGTAATGTTAGGTCAGAGGAGGGATGGGTGCACTGTTGCTAAGGTACTATCATTTACCATTGTAATGATAAAGGCGTTAGTCTCACGATGTAGTCATTCCTCACTTTGGATCGCGAGGGTTCTTTCTACAAACGATCAGATTTAATTCCCTCGGGGAATTAAGGATCAATTTCACTTGTATTTTCAAAGTTTTCTCAAAACTTCCTCGGGCCCATGCGATTACATATACTAAATGATTAATAAGCTCTTCCATGAAAAATTCAACCAATTTGTCGGGCATTATGGCGCAGTTTGCTGGCTAAACGGAAAGTTTGGTGGACTGAAATAAACTCTTACGCGCGTGTAATTGTTCAGATTGTTTTTTAAGTAATTTTTTCTTCCAGCTCTTATTTTCTCAAAGTGATACTGGTAATAAAATTTACGTTTTCGGATATAAACATGTCTTGGATCCCTCCCAGAGCTTCATTTCACCTTCGCCTTACAGCTCCCGCTAAAAATGACTCTGAGTTGGGTCCAAAACATATTTATGCCAGCGAACATAAAATCTATTGTTTTATAGGATAACAGCATGAGAAATTTCCAAAAATGCTTTATTATGAAAACATATTTAATGTTCTATCTATCTATCTATCTCTAATGGTGCACGTTTTCTTTGCAGTTGCGTTTCACGAAAACGAAACTTCACCCAGTTTGATAATGATCAAAGAAAAAGGACAATTGAAACTACACTGCAGTTATTGTGCGAATTCATCACAACAGGTCTTTGGTCTTTACTGGTACAAGGAGAACCAGATGATTCGTAATAGTACACACTATACGATAACAAATCACGGCAAAGATCTTGGTATTCCTGTGGTGCAGCAAGGAATGGATGAGGGACTTTTCATGTGTGAAGTTGTATCCTACAAACAGAACATTTCAAAGCTCATCACTGTTATTGTGAAGAAAGGTAAGCAATAACTAGTTTCATAGCGTTCGTGTATCGGTAAGATTGAAGAAAGGCTCTCACTTGGAGAAGAAAATTTTTCATGACTCAAGGTCACCGTTGTCAGTCTTTCCTTTACATTCATTCCACGTGGTGATGTGTTACTTAGGGCCGTGATATCACAAATTTTTTGTCCGGGAATGGAAAATTGGCCTGGCGTGAGCTCGATAGCCTTCATAGCTGGCAGCTTTGTCTGCGTTTTGAAGCACCAAGCGACAGTGTCGTAAAAACGAGCGATGGAGCTGCGAGAGGCTTGAGGTGGAAAATGGAGCTTTCCCACTCACAACTTCCTTGCTAATTGCTTTAAAGCGCGCGCAAAACCGCCAGATACCCAGGCAATGACCTCGATTGAGATTGAAGTTTCGATAAATGGGCGAATGAGTCGACTTAAGTACTTTTGTCAATGTATTGTGTCTTCGATCAAAGACTTGTTTTAACCGTACGTGATATGTGTTATACCTTTACTTGATCTCACAGCCGAGTTAAATCCATTGTTGTTAAGCGTGTTTGCTCAAAACAAGTCATACCTGTCTGTGCAAATCGCCTGGCGTCTTACGGAACACGCTGTCTTCAGTGCCTGTCATGTCAGCCTGAAGCTGAGACTGTTAAACTCCAGTTCATGGAGTCAAGAAGTTACCAATTTATCTCAAATACTCGGGTTTTACACATTCGCACATCTGCAGCCCAGAAGAATGTATTTATTAAACATTACACTGCAAAACAAATACAAGCAGATTGAGAACAGAGCAGTGGTTTTCTGGTCAGCGGCTTCCAACTCTTCAGGTATGAGCAGTCATTACTCCCTTTGATTTTACTGTTTCCTAATAATGGCTTCCATGATCTGTTACTCGTTGCTAACAACTTTAAAGGTAAATGGTAGGCGCTTTCGCCACCTACTATCCTGAAAGAAATCTGCAAGCTATGCATAGTTAAAAAATTTCCTTTTAAAGAAAAACGTTAAGTAGCCAAGCACACCAAATGGAATATGGGCAGTTTGTCTTTCGAACCTAAGTTCTTCGCGCAAGTTTAGGGGAGCAAAGGAAAAAAGAAACGAAAGAGAAAACGTACATAATCACCAGGCAGGAACTAGAAGTGATTATCGCCGTTCTTAAGGCTCGAAAATTTTGGTTAAAGTTTAGCTCACGCAATTTGTGAACTACCTTGTTTATACGGGGAAAATATAATATGTCCCATGAGAGTATTTAGGCCTAATCATGAACTACACATGAAATTATTTTGACGCAAGCTAATCTGCTAAAAAGACTTTACAAGATTTTGCTCTATTATTACAATGTGACAGACTTCTCAACCGTATTCAAGCCTTTTTGTGAAAGATTTCTGTCTTCTTAGCGGAACCTTTGAAAATGGGGTGAATGCAATTGCTCAGACGTCATTTTTTAATTTATTACAAACGTTAACCAAACTGATAAAGAGAGATAGTGATGTACTTTGGTTTTACCTTGGCAATGTAAATTGGTCACCGTGAAGAGTTTCTAAATCTGAGGTTTCAAGCGTTAGCTCTTCGTTAGAGCAGAAGGGCAGAAGATGTAGTTCATTGGTTATTAGCTTTGGCCAACGAAATAATCTTATTCATCACGAGAATTAAACCTCAGATCTTCGGATCTTGTGCTTTCATGTTCAACCACAGTCACAGTAAAAACATTTGTTGGTCTCGCAACTGGGCCGTACGCCAGCTGGCTCAGAGATGCGAAGGATCCTGTATATCGATAGGATTAGCAGCACAAAAGGCATCGTGCGTGTAGATATAGAATAAGAAAGATAGCAGACTTTAAGCAAAATTATGTTTCCTTTCTTGTTTCAGAGTTTGATCAAAGATTACGGCTTCTCTATCACGTGATCAACAAGAGAGCTTTAAGCGTGGCGCTAGGGATCATAGGATTGCTGGGGATAATAATGGTAACATACGTCTGTGCCACGTGGTGTTATTCTGATAAAAGAGGTTATTCCATCCCACCAGCGCAGACGAAGAGACAGGACGAGAATGACAGTAGTTTTGAAGTAGACACTCACTTGCTTTACAACAGGTTTGTTTTGACCATTACGTTCACTTGTCTCAGTTTAGCCTGAGTCACAGAGGCTCGACTTACAGGGAAAGTATGCTTCAGAAACCACATAATTCTCAAATCAGCCATTGAACATGAATAAGAAATTATAACGCTGATTACGTTTTGAAATTCCAAAGAGTAGCCTAACCCTTTTGAAATTTTTTTCCAATATTCTAACATTCGCTTGTAAACGCCGCCATTTTGAATCTACAGATACGGCTTACCTGTAAACAACCGACTAGGAGCTACACAGGAGAGGCTTTCTTGACCAAGATAATAATTTTCATTCGTAAACAATACCAGCAACCGCGTGTAGACCGCGCAGTCCGTTTTTTAGCACGGCCAGATAACTGAATTGCTTTTACCTGTCCATAACGACCAGTTTTCCAAGGGTTGGGTCATTCTTTGGAGTCTCGCACTGCAGATAGAAGTAAATTTACATGCATTGATATATGCTCATTTTCTTTGGTGTTGGAGCTTGCTACTTTCTTTTCGTGGAGTGTGAGCGTTTTGGAGCGACACACGCGAGGGAGTTTCTATAGTGCGTATATTCCCTTCCTCCCTCGCGTTTCTCGCTTCTTTGCAAAGCACCTGTTACGCAGGCTAGCTTGCTTCTGTGTTATGTTAATGTCCTCTTCTGGTCATGTGTGTTTTCCACGCCTCTCGCTGGGCTTTCTTCGTCCTGCACTGTAACGTGGGCTCACTATCGGCACAGCAGCTGTTTACTGAGCATTTAGTCGAAGTCGCTAAAGTGAATTCAACATGACGTTACTTTTTTCAAAGTAATCTCTCCCTCTAATTGTGATAATGTTCGTGAGTACAACGAAATGTAAAGGATTCAAGATAACCTTTGTTTCAATCTTCCATCTTAAGGGCCTTTGAAGACGACAAACTTGATTGGATGAACGAGGAAATATGATCGCAAAATAAAACTATTTCAATATCGTATTTGATCAAGCTCTCGATCTCTTTCATTACTTTTACAAAGTATTTTTCCGGCATCTTTTTTTCTGGATTTCTTCTCTTCTATAAATCTCAACAGTGAAAACACGCAAGTTTTGTTGCCTTTCTTCAAGCAATGGATGTTGAAACCAAAGATCGTTTACGACAAGTAAATTGTGAACTTTTTTACTTCCTCCGGACATGTTGTATGAATGTACATTTACATCCTTCACTTTCACCTTTGAAAAGCACACCAGGCAATATTTTCTGTAGAATGCGAATAAAAAAAACACTGTCTAACGGGGTGATTTTTATTTTTATTTTAATTAGTGCATGCTTAATCTACAAACACGAGTCAATCTGTACAACAATTCCAGCGCTAGAACATCTAAACAATAACTACAAAGCACGAATGATTACCTAACGTCTTTCACACTAGACGTGCTTCTCACTAAACTTTTCCTGTTTTTTCGACATTAAATTGATAAAAAAAGAAGCCAAATTGAATGTCAAATACCATTGGCTTCACCACAATTTTCTCTAATTAAATTATTTTAAATGTTATGATCACAAACCATTTCTCTCACAACTCTCACAGTCTGTATAGGCAAACAGGGAACCTGCCCTTTTTAATCCCAATGCATTGTTATAAAGACAGCAAGAGTATCATTTAACCTAATACGCCATAGTTTACAGTCGGTGGATATAACATCACGAAAGTTCACGTTTATCAAGTCACGTGACACAAGTTCATCACCGTTCTTCAGTGGCATTGATGTAACTTGCGTCAAAATTGTTCAGATCAATCGAGATCTGTTAAAGAAGAAAGAAAAAGACCTCAGTGATGAACATCACCTTATAATGCAAAGAACAAGTTTTTGCCAAAGTTCTCCATTCCAGTTTTCGTTCGTATTTCTTTTCATATAACTTTTCATGAAAAACTTGAAAACTTAAGAAAATTTCTTCATTAATTGAGACAAAAACAATAACACGCCAGGATGTGAAGTGCTTTTGAGCCAAATAGATGGTCACAAAAAAGACAACAACAACAGCATTGAAAAATTATTTCTCACAGAGAACGATGTTTCCTCGTCTTGTCACCAGCGCGGGACCAAGAAAAATTCTGAGTTGCCAATGAGGAATCAACCCCCAAACCTCAATTTTGTATATCTGAGGTTCGAGTCCTCAGAAGGGTTAGATATTCTTGTTTGTTGTCTAACAATTTTAAAAGATTTTAAAGCATCTTTGCTCCAAAATACCATGCTATGGACTTTTCCCCATCAACTTTCACGATCGTCAAGTTTATACAATTGTAGCCTTTCTTTTGAACTCACCCTTTCTGCTGTCATCAGTCTGTGTAGAGTTTTTCCTATTTCAAGGAAAGTTGGTCTGGCCTCTGGTTCTTGCTGCCAGCACTGCCACATGATGGCATATCTACAACAAAGAGAACATCTCTTATCTAAGTATTAAATTCATAGGGTTTGAAATCAAAGGAAACATAACCGAAATCTGAGAAAAAAAGGAAAAGAAAAAAAAGCGATACGTCAAAGCTCAACGCTGACAGCCTACTGAGCTAAGTGGCATTCTTTGCAGATGAATGTGCGAATAAGCTTCAGGAAAAAATATCTACCCAGAGTAGAAGGTTTACCATTGACACTAGAGATCTTAAATTCCAACTGTACTTCAAGAAAACTTCTTGAACACAAAGGCATTCTGGCTGAAGTAGATAATAGAAATCCTTTCTTTTGTTCACAAATGAGAAAAGAAACACATATTTTTCCCATATTATGACCATTGCAAGCTTAGAACAATTTTTAGCGACAAAACTACTCACACTTCATCAGAACAGTATTGTGGTTTGGGCATCCTGTAACCAATATGCAGCTGATCTATCACTTGATCTCTGTTCATACCAGGGTAGGGATTAGCCCCTGTAATAGAAATAAAACTACCTAAATAAATGACATCGTACACTTTTTTAACACAAGGAAAGTTAAGGATAACAACACTCAAATAAGAGGGTTGGAGATCAGCTATGTCTCGAGCAACTCTTACGCTTCTCCCGTGATCTCCACACTTACTACGTGCTTCTTATAACTCGATGAACGCACGCTGACCGAGAATTGGTAAATAGGGAATGGAACCTTTACCTAAAGTGACAATCTCCCACAGAAGTATGCCATATGACCAACTGCAAGAAAAGAAAAATTATTAACAAAAATGGCACCCGACACGTTGTAATTAAGCACAAACATAGTGAGCCATAGTTATGACGAGTTATTAAGAAACTACTTTATCTAAACAGCGTTAAGCTATTAATTCAACTTGAACAATATTTCTAATTTAGACATAACATAATTAACAATTATTCACCGAAATGGAGATGAGTAATGGTAAATATCCACCACTTTCACCAACGCTGAGTTGAGAAATTGTTTCAGTATTTATCACACAGATTCCAAAATATTAGTTTGTTTCCTTCAAATATGGTCAGAAATTAAATTGTTGACGCACCATTTTGTCTCTTCGCCTACTCGGAGGTGAATAGTCCTTGTTATTCACTTCCGTACCAACCAATCAGCGCGCACAAATAGCACTATTCACCTGTTTGGTGTATACTAATGGCAAATTTGCAACTTTCAAAGTTTTAGCAACAAAAAGAAATTTTCTTGAAAATATCGATCTCCTATGTTTCAACTATCACATGATTAACTCGCAAGAATTACGACAATGTTATGCAACAACTTACATGTCACTTTCTGTGGTAGTAATTCCCTTAAATATTGATTCTAACGCCATCCAGCGAAGAGGTAATTCTGCCTAAAATGACAAAAAAAAAAAAAAAACAACCATTCACGTCGCCCAGTCAGATGAATAAGAAAGCCAAGGCATTCAAATATCACCGATGTCAACACCTCTACCACACAGTTACTTAAACAAATAACAAATTCAGTATAGCAAAACTCCGACAGCTGATTCAGTTGGCTTTTGGAGTTGCGAGGCAACAACATTAGTGCAATGACCTTGGTCTTAAACTTAACTTAAACTTATTTCATTGACCATTCGTTGGCCTCTGGACGCCTATCAGGTCGGGGGTGACAGAAGGGGACTACATTCACAGGGTAACCGTAACAGAGGAACATTTCTCGAAGGTCCCCGTAACTATACAGGCCAGTAGAGGCCCGTTATGCTGTTCAGTTTTCATTCCAGATGGGGGTTTTAAAGGTTTTGGAAACGAAACAAAAAAACTATCAGCTAAAAAAGACCAAATGTATTGGTTAGGGTGCCAGAAACTGTTTCTGTATTGTTAAAATTTTTGATTTCCAACACTTTCGAGAGATGAGCCCCTGAACCGCACCATAAAAGCGCTATATAGTCAAACGTTTCCATTTAAAACGATTTCTGAAAGAACTATGCGGTCTCGTTATCCAGTATATTACTTTCGACGTGCAAAAATCATGTTTGGTGTTTCGGAGAAATAAAAAAAAAAATAGTACTGTATAATGTAATGTAAATATAGTGTAATGTATCAAATGTAAAATAAATCTTAAAGGGATTGTTCATAACATTAGTTTGAAGGTATGAAAATAAACTTTTTTCTAAGATAATGCTTCACTATTGTAGTAGTTCGCGAGAGTTGATGTCGGCCGCTATCACTTTCACTCTGAGTATGCTCTCAGTCGATGGAAGCCGATATGTCATAGGAAACGAAATTAAACAGGATAAACCTTTTAAACCCTAACAGAAATCTTGAGTAAATGATTGATTTTTACTAAAAACTCCATCATTTACTCTAGAATTAGTAACCAACTTACCTCTCCTAACTTTAGGTATTGTTTCTTCTCGTAAATATCTCTGGCTAGACCAAAGTCAGAAATCTTACAAATGTTTCCTTTGTCCACCAGAATGTTTCTAGCGGCCAAGTCTCTGTGAACAAGCTACAAAGCAAATCATAGCAAGTTAAAATTATTACACAACACATGTTCAAAAGTATTTCCCACCAAGACATAGCCTGTTCTGGGCACACAGTAAAACTAAGCGCGATTTGTGAAGGGCGCGCAAGTAACAGAGGAGTGAAAAAATGAGGGAAGTTGAATTGCTCACGCGATCAAAGAGAAGCGTGAACTATGATTGGCCGATGATTACATCATATCTTGTTACAATAACCGTGCGCGAGATGTGGATTATCATGCTGAAGATCTTGAACGACTTATAATATATAGATTTCATATATTTGAACTACGGATTGAAAAATGAAGACGAGAGAGATCATTGCAGATATGACAATACTTACGCAGTAGTAAAATTGAAGACTGACAAAAATTCAACTTACTTTCAGACTTGATAGGTAACTCATTCCACGAGCAACTTGCCACGCAAATGACATCAGGTCACGGCTCGTCAAAGACACACTATTACCCGCCATGTTGGCGTAAACAACACTGCCGTGACTGGAAATAAGGAAATCTTTCAAGTTCCCCGAGGAGCAGTACTCTACGATTATGAAAGGCTGATCTGTTTAAAGTGAAAAAAGGAAAAACTTTTATAATTTCATTCTTAACATTTCGACCTCCCTCACGTGATAGAGATTTTTAATCTGCGTCAAGTAACTCAGCTTGATTCATGGAGATTTTAGTTCGTTTTATTTAAACAATTTGTCCTTCAGATTATGACACCATTTCTTCCCAAGCTTCTCCTTTCTTTTACCCCACAACGCATCTCATTAGCAATGTCCAGGGTTCAAAAATCGATGAATACAATACAGTAAATGATGAATACGATTGGAGAGTAAGGCGGCGTCGGATAATACTCTCCCAACTAATCCCGATGCGAAGGAAGGTAAAACTAAACTGCTTACTGTCTGTTATGGTGCTTGTACGTTCAATCTTGCTAGAGAAACTCCATTCTTTTTTCTTGGGTAAAAAATTGTCCTCTCGACAAACAAAATCAGGCGCCACTCCATATACTTTAACTCTC